TATGGAACTTGAAATTGTTTTAAAATTCGTAATTCCCTTTCGTACTCGTAATATTATCTAGTGATGTGCGCAGTAATATCAGAAAATAAGGCAGTTATAACACAGGATAATCCGTAGTTACCACTCTCAAATTATAAATCGTAAAAATGTGATCATTAGGGGGTCTCAAAACTAGAAAGACTGAAACTTAGTATATATAATGCTCAAAAGCAGTCAAAATGACTGGATTGTAAAAGAATAAATAATGCGTAAAAAAATTTGTTTAAAATTAATTTTTAATATTTTTTTATATTATTTACTGTTATATAACAAGTTATTAGTAAATGTTAACAATAAAAAAATTATATGTTTCTAAGAAATTTTGTCATTATATACACCATTGTTTTTCTAATTGAAATTAAAAGCATTCAAAATGACTTCCTTAGGCAATCTAGTGTTAAATCAATTTTTAAGCAAGAAAAAAACAAAAACGCTACCAAATAACAACTCAGGAAAGCAGTTTTGAAAACATCAAAACGTGTTTAATTGTTGGATAAAACAACGAGGAATTGGAAGATGAGAGCGCCGATGTGGAATCCATAAAAAATGAACATTTAATTGTTATAAACGCCTCCAAATTTCACCAGGTTGATTCACCAACTGATTTTTAAAAAACAATTTTCCTCCTGTCCTCCTCACTTCGTAAAATTAGACTTTTTCTTCGGAAAATTAATACCCAAGATTTTTTTCGTATAAATCTTTGTTATGTATGACATATATGTATAATATACCTTATTAAATGTTACTTGAAAACTCCCCTACTTTCCTCTTTTCACCCTTACTTAAAGGGGTTTGAAAAGGAGAATTGAATTTCTTCTAGACAGGCAAGTGTGGCATTGTTGTTATTCACGATATATAGAATGAAACTAATCATGAGATGATAGAACTAACAGTTTAGAATTTGTAAGGGGTTGTATGTTCAAAAAATACAATTTTCTCTCGTGTCTATTCACACAACTGACATTACTACCTAAACAAGGGATTTTTATGTATAATCCTTAATAAAAGGATTTTTATGTACTACCTAAGCAAGAGAAATTTTTATTTTTTCATGTAGTAAGGGATTTTTATGTATAAAAAGTACTTATTCTGACTAACTTGAATTAGACGAAACAGGAATCGATTTAAGAAGTTATAAATGTTTTGTGAACAGAAAGTATAACTTTGTACTTGAGCTTCTTACAATCTTTCACTATGCTGTACAAAGAATTGAGGCATTGTTTCCTAGATATTTTCTTTCTCATTAATTCGAACAAGATCCAACGAGGGTCAAAAGGCCTAATATTTCAATAATTGCAATGCTGTTTTTCTACAAAAAGACTATATTTTTTAATTGTACTAATTATGGGGAAAACCCTTTTAACTTTGAAACTATTTATCTTATCGACTCTAATTTTATTTTGTTCTGTTAATCATGAAGAGTACAATATACCTTACATGCTTACATGTACCTTACATGTATTAATTTATTTGAATTTAAAATGCACATATTTTAATTTTCATTCGGCATATTAGCTTTTAGAAGAAATTTTTAAAAAATCAAAATTATTGTTGCGTACTTCTTAATTTAGATGGCAATTTTAAATTAATACAAGAAATGCATATATTACAAATTTTAGACATAATTTTTTTTTCAGTTTTTGAATAATTTTAAAAGTGAACAAGAAATACTTAACGAAAAAAATGAATCAAGCCTTAAAGGTTCAAATATCTGTTCCCAATTGAATTCATTTCTTTGGTTAGAACAAAGAGTTCACTTGCTGTTAGAACAAAGAGCTTAAAAAAGAAGTTAACTGTTGTTTTATTTTAAACAAAAATTTTTAAAATATTGAAATTTTTTTAAAGGTTAATTTTTTCTATTTTATTACTATGCTCTTATTAACTATGGTGGTATCTTGCAATAAAATCTCTACTGGAGCTCTGTGCCTGATATCAACAATACTTTCACTACAAACCACTGGCTCATATCACCACCAATTTATCATTAATTTAAGTTTCAACCACTTTCCGAATAGATAGAATGCTCCAATTTCGATTAAAGCTCCGTGTCTTAAGCTAATGCAAGATACAATGCTTCTTGAATTGTAAAATAGTTAATCTCTAATCAAAATTTTGACCACTTTCCCACATATTAAATCAACAGGCACAAAACTAAAATGAAGAATTTGATAAACTAAAACAAACATTTAAAAGCAAAAAGCAGAAAATGTTTTTTTTTATTTTTTGTCTGAGGTAGAACAAAAAACACTTTCTGACAAAGCAAATTCAACAGACACAAAACTAAAATGAAAATTTGTTAAATTAAAACTAACATTTCAGAAACTTCATAATTCAAGCAGACCAAAAAGCAGAAAATACTTTTATCTGAAGTAAAACAGAAAACATGGACTTCACCTTCGTAATTAACTACAACCGCCGAAAATTTCCCCGTGTCTGTTGAAAGTGATGCAGCATACATTTTTCATTTTTGTTCTGACGAAGCTGAAATTGTTTTAACTATCCTTTTTAACTATTTGAAAAGCGTACACTGAAAAAGAAATGGGTGTATAGTTACCACCATTTTTTTAGTAAAGGTAATCTAACTATATTTTTAAATACAGAACAGTAGTTATCGTGAATTTTTTTTAATATAAAATTGACAAAATAACATTTGGATATCTGCAAGAGAAGTAATCATAGGTACATCGTGGCATTTGTCGATTCAGATGCCAATCAGCTTCGACACACGCGCGTGACGTCACTTGCAGGTAACCAATTAAATCTGATTTAAATCACATGATTAAGCATAATCACTTAACTTCTTCTCGAGTTGTAAGTACCCACTTGTTTGAAAGAATTAGTGAGAATATATTACTAAAAACGTGCTTACGTTTTAAAAAAAAAAATTTTGCAACGAAACCATTAATTGATTCGCATGTGCATAAAAAAATGTGTTGTCAGTAAATAACCAAACAAAAAATAAATATGTATGTAACTACAAAAAAGTTAAATAAAAAATGTGAATATGTGCACAATAAAATGTTTTAGTTTACCTACCAAAAGTTCACCTTTAGTTTACACCAAAAATTTTCACCATTTTTGGTAACTATACATTCAAAGATTTTTCATTGTAGTTTTAATATTTTTATTTCATTATTTAATTACTTTTAAACAAATAGTTTTACTATCTTGATATTTTTAATTTAAAACTTGTTTTTCCAATCAAAATAATTCTGTTAATTTCTTAACTCTTTCAATATAAAAAAATAAAAATATGCATGTGTTTTAAACTTACAATGATGAGAAAATACGTCAGTTAGAATTACTTTTACGAATACTTCATTTTTCAAATAATGAATCTCCAATGATAAAACGTACACACATTTTACAACCTATACATTTTTTTAATTTTCTTTATGATAAAAAGAAATCTGATAAATTGCACGAAACACATTTTTAAATATCTCGAAGTGAAGCGAGAAGAAAGTCATATTAGGAGTCATAAAAAAAATATGAGAAAAGGTAGAAAAATTTTACATCCTTTGAAAATGTTTTTTTATGCAGTTTATGGTTCATAACGAAAGAAAAGGTATTTTGATTTATTGTTCCTTTTCCCTTAACGATGTTGAAAATTGTCCTTGGAAAAAACTGTGTGGTAATGCTAATGATTTTTCAAAGCTTAAAAATTTGACTAACAATTATCTCCGATAAACGGAGAAGGTTAACTGTGAATAAAAAAAATATTAATGATTTATTATATCGATTTTTTTTCTACGTAAATAAGAGTCCAGTTTTTATAATTTTTTGTTATTTTAACACATTTGTAAAGAGTTTTTAGGAACTTCTTCGTTAATGAATCAATTTTTTAAAAAGAGAAAAATTAAAGAAAATCATATTTAAATATGAAAGCCGAGTTAGTTTTATTTTAACATTCATTTCTAAGCAGTGAAGAACTTCGGTTGATTAAAAAATAAACTTTTTTCAATATCTGAAATTTTGGAACAGTTTTAGGAAAAAAATCGACAAAAATATACCCTTCGCTATGTAGTTTATCGTCCTTGTAACTTTTACTACATTTTTGTTTGTTCTCTGATTCACTTAATAATTTTTGTTTTTGTGTCAGACATAGTTTCTTGCACTGTTTGGTTTTGTTACTTGAATTACGTATTATCGTAAGTTCTGTTATTATGTCTTGAGATTCATGAAACTTGTGCCCATCCCGGTTGAAAAACCACTAGTTGATTTCACTAAAGTTTTTATATTTGGTAATAAATAAACACAAAGTTTGATGCAATATTGATATGGAATCAAACGGTAGGTATGTTCTAAAAATTTATCTTATAAAACTCGCTTAATTATCTTCATTAAAAATATCTATTTTAGGCTGCCTTTCTATATTTAATGCTGTGTAAATGTATCTTTACAGCATTAAAGTTTTTTTTTCCTTTAAAAGAAAAAAGATTGTTAGTGATTATGTCTTTATAAATTGTATGAAGATTATGATTATGTTATTTTGTTTCTGTAAATTAGTCTCTTTGATTAATCGAATGAACTTCTAAACAATAAGTTTGCTTTTTCAAACTATCCGCAAAAACTTTTTTTCATTCATCAATTCATTTAATGTGGTTAATGTAAACAATTTTATTCTTAGTGTTTTTAAAAGTAATATATGTACCATGATGTCAGAATCTATTTATTATTATTGCAAAAAGTAGTACAAATAAATATTAACTATAGCCAGGGGTCGGGGAACTGTCCTTGCATCAGAAAAGTTATGAGTTCGAATCCCGGGCAAGGCATGGATGTTGTTTCATTCTCGGTATTATCTGTCCTTACTGTGGAAGCAACGTTGGTCCGTCTAATATGGTGCCCCTGAAAGGGTGGCCAACAAATCTGCTCTTCAAATGTCTATATTGACGAAAGGCTATTCCCCAGGTGGGCGATGGAAGAAAAAGAATATTAATTATGTTCTTGTGTTGCAGGATAATGAATCTGCTTCAGAAGTGGATCAAAACGCTTGGTATTCTGAAGTGGTGGAAAGGCTAAAGAAAGCGGATCAATATCGAACAAGAAGTCATGCTGGAGCTCCCCTCTATGGATCGGGAGAGAACTTACCGTCAGAATTCCTTATACGGGATCGCACCATCCTGTCACCTGTCTCGGTGTCTTCTTCGAGGTACATTTCTTCATTTCATTCTATCTGACAGTAACACCTTTGCTCTAAAGCTCCGACTACAAAATAAAAAAATAATTGAAAACAGAACCATTACCATAAACTGGGAGAACTTTGCCATCAAGAGAAACGTAGACTAGGTTCTGAAATAGATCTGTAGTGGCTTGGGGAGTTTTTAAAATAGACATTAAAAAATAATTTACTGACTATTTTTAAAAAATGACTGGTAATTTGAGCATAAATGAAAGAAAAACAGCGAAAGGTGGAAAGACAGGGTTTGCCAAGTTTTGTTTAGGAAAATAGTTCTTTTTCTTGTCTCAAAATTAGTTGCAAAGTTCATCAACTTGCACCGCGGCAACTATTCAACAATGTAAACAAACTATTAAACAATCTTTTCTGTTCTTTGTCAGACATTCCTAACTAAAACGTAGTTCTATCGTTCTAACTAAAGCAGGTAGCACGGGAGTCTAATAATTTTGTTCTTGCACTGCACCTCATTGCTGCTACAAGTGGTAGTTATTTCTTATTTAGAAGAAATGTTTTGTATTTCTTATTTAGTAGTGGTAGTTATTTAGTAAAAACTCTTATTCAATTGACATTGCTGTTATCCAGTTGGGCTGTCATAGCAACAGCTTTTAATACTAATACTGCCTTTTATAACTTAGTCCCTACTTGCCATAATTAACAGCAAATCTGGATCTTAACTCTTCCCCTCGTTTTTTTACTATATTAGTTTATTTTCGCTTTACCATTGTATTATCTAAATCAGTTATTATTTTTCAAACTTGAACTCATAATGTAAAATATTATACAATTGATTTCTCATATTAAAACTGAACGCATTAAATTTCAAATTTTAAAGACCACATTTAAATTAAAAAAATAGCCCTTTTTATTCAACTTTTAAATTTCTTTTGGTAATTTTTCTTTCGAAAAACTCTGTGGAAAACGCTCTATTCTGCTTATTAAAATCTATTAAATAAATTGATTCTGCATCAGAATCTTCTAAATAAATATATTCATTTTCTCTTAATGATTTATTTCGCCGAACTACCATAGATTTTTTTTTCCAAACTATATTTTATCAGAAACCAATAGTTTGTTTAAATCTATGAATCGATTATTTGTGTACATTTAATCATTTTTAGAATCCCCTGAATGAGTTGAATAATTTCATTCGAATAATTTTTCTGATTTATTTTTCCCACCTCTAACCATGAGTCCCACAAAAAAATACTCCTCACGATATTTTAAACAAACGCAATTTTCGATTATAAATATGAGTATTCCTTTACTTAAAATATCGTTTGCACTTATTAATCAGCAAACGATATTTTAAACAAACTCTATAAGGTATTTATTTTGCGAAAAAAAAGTGAGATAAAATCTGAAATAGGGCATGGAAGTTATATTATCGTTTGTTGATCATAAATGATTCCTCCCAGGACGTGGAAGGATGAGCGACCAGCCAAGGAGAGAGGACGCTCTGTTTACGTTCCGCTGCATCATAGAAAAGAGAAAAAAGACGCTGGGCCGTAAGTATTCTTAAAGCTCAGCTCCCCCCAAAAGAATGCAGCAACCTTACCCTACAACCTCGCCAGTTGCATGATTAGAAGTAGCAAGTAGAAGCTTTTCCTATGTTGAATGTAATGTACAGTGCGCTTAAAAGTAAACGGACCAATGTGAATAACTTTTGATCTAAAGATCGGATCTTCATGTAGTAGAACTCAATCGTAATGGTTTAAGGGGGGTGACAGCAACTAATTTATTAGTGCAGACGATATTTTTAGTTATGAAATCAGACACAAAAATTTACTTCCTCTGAATAAACGTATCTTTTCTCAGTGTATTCAGATATCTGACCCCCTCAAAATATAGAAGGTAGGCGCAATCTGGGAAATATGTGCTCCCAATGGTTTGGATTTAATGTTGATTTAACTTTTTACGTAGTTCGCCATGTCTTGAGAACTCTTTAAGCTAATCGAAAAACTTTTGCTCATAATTATAAAATTCATTAATCCAAAGGTAATTCCATGCAGAAAATGACTTTTAGTAAATATTTATAACTTTTTATTATTTTATTTAATGAAAGTCGGAAAAATTTTTTAGTTGTAAAATATAAAATTTTTATATCGTTTTAAAAGATGTGATTTTATATGAAAAAGATAAAGTTTGAGCGAAATCGGTCTGAGAAATTGAAATTTTAAAAAGTTAGATATTTAAATGGCGAAACAAAAAAAAGTAAAATTAATATTAATGTGTCCAAACTATTGGGACCATATTTTCCAGATTAGATTGCAGCTACCCTCTTTATTTTGGGGGTCTGAAATCCGATTTCATCAACAAAAAAAAAAGGTTTTTTTTATTCTGAGAAAGATTTTGTCGTATTCTGTAACTTAAAATATCGTCTGCACTTATTAATTAGCACATTTGAGGTCAACCCCTCAAACTATTAAGATTGGGTCGTATGTGAATATCCATTTATTACATCAAAGTTATTAGTGGTGGTCCTTTCTTTGAGCACTGTACAGTGGTTAAAAGTTAGTATTATTTCACAAAGTTCTTTTTTGCGATTTCTTTTTTGAGCAGATTCTTATGTTATGCAGCAATAAATTAGTAAGATTTATAAAAAAAAATACGTATACATTTAATATGAAAACACTTAATTTTCCAGGTTTTAATAAAATATTATGATGGAATGTAAGTATAAAATACTAGTTTATTCTGTAAAAAAATATATACATAAAATGTGTCCAATGTAAGAAAACAATTGACTTTAGTGGTGAATAACAGACATTGACCTGAAGCTTTTTTCCTTGCCTATCATCGCTTCTTTTATCTTTTTAAGGTTTCAGTTTTACGTAACCTTTATTTTACCACCTATCATCTTCTTACGGTGGATGGGCAATTAAAAGACCACTTTCATTATTTATGGAATTTTGTTAACTTCATTTTCATAGTAAAGCTTATTTTTATTAATACGCAATCGTGAAAATTGGGTCCCAATAGTCCCATGAAAAGGCCCGATAAACTGGGCCCTTTCATGTTAATTTCACTTTTTGCGTATATTGCCATATCGAAGAATTTGTATTTTTAAATTTTATTTTGCTGAGGGCAATTTATCCAAATCACACAAAAAAACGTATGAAAACATGGCATAGCTTTAAACCCTACTGTAATGTATTCTATCAAGGTTTTTTAAAAATATTTTGACAGAATTATCTCAAAATATAAATTACTTTTGTATTAAATGTTATTTACAAAAAGGATTCAATTTAATTGCTGTTAAACATCATGTAAGGGAAAAATAAAAAAGTTTAGCTCTGGTATGAAAATTATTTTAGAATTTATTAACAAAACTTTTTCAATCATATTATTTTATGAAGCGCAAAATTATAATTAACATGTGTATAATCAATAAATGCATTTTTGAGAATGTTTATTTATTTAGAAAGATATTACGCTTCTGTTTTGTTTTTTAGGGACTTTGATCATCCTAAGTCCAGGGAAGGATCTACGAAGAAAAAACATCACGTGGAAAAAACTACAGGTGAGTTGAAACAGAAACTTTATTTGAAAAGAATAGAATTTTGTAGAAATTCCTCCGTATGATAGAAAATTTCTAATATCTTGCCTCAGACGTGTCTAATCTAAGTTTAAAATCCAATTGCTGAAATTTTGTCTAAATCTAATATCTAATGTTTGGTTTCAAAGCTTTTCCTGGACCTGTTTACAAAACTAAAGTACTTAATTATTGATAATCTTCTGATTCTTTTAATTATTGATAATCACTGGGCATTAACCACATATCGTGCCAATGCAACCATGAGTACATTAGGAATACATTAAGGGAACATGACAGATAAGTCCGTCATCAAGAATTAAATACATGATTCATTGCCACACCTTGTTCGAAACTTATGTTCCACACCATCCTCCATATCGCTTGGAAATGCATTCTGTCGTGGTGTCCCTGTTTCAGCCTCCGTCGTTTTACTCTGCTATGGAAGTTTTTCTCATTTTGTTTACCCCCTTTATTTTGTTTACTATTTTTCCTACGGCAACTTTGTGTTTTCTTTTTTCGAATCTGTTTTGTTTTCCTCGTGGAAGTCTGGTAAGTCTTGAGAGTGGGAAGATTTGTTTTGAGCACCTAAAATATGTTGACCTTTTCCACCTTTATTTTTTGAAGCCAATAAAAATTTTCCATTTTGAAAAACAACTTAATTGCGTAACTCTAAAGTGTTTAGAAGGCAATTCGAAAATTTGTCTCTTCTTAAATAAATTCCCTTTCTTTTCTATAATGCTTACATCGTTTTGAAAGTAGGTTGAACGTTTCTTTTCTAGAAAATCATCAAATTAGTCGATACAATTTTGGTGACACTCTGACGCATTTTGTACGCCTATATCTTATAGAGCAAAATTAGAGGTTGCCACCGGCCGCAGGAAGTGATGATTAAAAAATTGCCAGTCACTCGCCATTTTTTCCCGAAAATGAACCCGAACGCCATTTTTTCATAAAAAAAATGCATCACGTGCACATTTATTTTTTTAAATATTAACTTTTCTTGAATACCGCCTTGATCAAAAAGTTCCCGGAATTTAATCAGAAAATTAAAAATGCAGGTTTATTCATCTAAGTCTATATTGTCCCCTTCAAAGTAATCCCCATCGACTGCAACACATTTATGCCAGCGCTTAAGCCAATCCTCGAAACATTTTTTATATTCGGTTTTCGGTATCTCCATAAGTGCTTCCTGCAATTTTTACTTTGATGAACGCCATTACCATTTGATGAACGCCATTCACTTGCCTGACGTCTGGATTGCGTGTCGTACTCATAAACCCACATCTCTTCTCCAGTAATGATCCTTTTGATGAATGTGGAATCGGATTCAACGTCGCAAATCATGTCTTTTGCGACGTCAACACGGTCTCTTTTTTGCATGAAATTGAGGTCTTCTGGCACCAACTTTGCTGCTACACGACGGAAACCCAAATCATTAACCAAAATGTCTTGGACGGATCGATAGGCAATGTTCAAGCCCTCCGCTATCTCGCTGATGGTTAATTTGCGGTTATTGACCAATCTTTCTTTTACTTTATCAATGTTTTCGTCGGTTTTCGATGTCGTTGCTCTGCCACTGCGTTCATCATCTTCGATTCACTCACGACCACTTTTGAACCGCTCGTGCCACTGGTAAACGACCATTTTCTTTCACTTTTCCAACGTTTGCGCACTATTAAATCCGTTTTTTACGCAAAATTTAATACAAGTTCATTGTTGAAAATTTAAATCCATATCTAAAATTGTAAAAAATCGCCAACACACACAGAGGGCTACGTAACTTTTGCATAGGGCAAGCTATGACGCTAAGATTTAGAGGGAATATCAACAACAGATGTAGTACCAACTTAATAAAAAAAAACAGAACTCAAGTCGGAACGATGGTAGCGCCATCCGGGGGTTATTTCAGGAACTTTTTGATCAAGGTGGTATTTAATATTCTTCAAAAAATTACTTTATTTCTTGCTGGTTTCTTAATTCTCTTCATATTTTAAAATTAGCTTAGCATTTTGATAAATTTTTTGCATTGCTTATATTAAGTTTTTTAATCATTTAAAACTTTTAGTTTTAAATTATGATACTAGGTTAGCCACATATTTTAAAAAGTGGCAACTGCAAAATGTACTACTACTGACTACAATCCAATGTCATAACCTGCGCTAACTCCTGATAAATAAATTCTAAACATCATATCTCACAAAGTTATAGGAACAGAATTGTTCAAAGTAGCAGTAGGCAGGCTTAATACCTGCTGTAATCACAATAAACTCTGAGAGGTAATGTTAAACAGTGACAAAACAAAAAAAATCATACGGGTATTTAAAAACCGGAGAAGAGGAACGTTTATCTCTACCACTCTTACAAATGCAATAAAACATAATCGAACACACATTCTACATTTTTAACCGGGTTATGGACAGAAAGAATACTAATAGCACTTATTGCACGATGTTATTGAAAAAAATTATTCTACATCGAAATTCCGACCACTTTCTAACTAATTAAGGCACACAACTTTTATCTAGAGCTCTGTACTGAAGGAAAATACAAGTTTTAACCATTTACTGACCCCTACGAGCACTATTTATACCAGTATAGTCTCCAAAATTTAAACAATTTCTACTAGAATGCACACATACTGCAGTTATGTGCTTGGATGGTAATTCAAATTTCCATCGTTTCCTGACCGCTACAAGCAACAGTCTCAATATACCGCTATAAGCAGTAGCTATCGCTATAGCATCCCTAATGAAGAATTTAGCGTCAATAAGAATTTATACCAAATAGCGACAAGCTGGAATACTCAAATTTCAACGGAAGCTTTGTGCTTGATAAAAAACAAAACAAGTTACAATAGTTTGCCGCCAAAGGAAATTTCAGGCACCTTTAGAATGAATCCAACTGTAAAACAAAACTAAAAAGGAGAAAGTAATGAAATAAAATTAAAAAAAATCAAATACTACGTTTTTCAGATAGACTAAAAAGAAGAAAATTCTATTTCTGTTATATCTAAAATTAAAAGCGCAGAATGTATCTAATAAACTTCTAACCCCACCAAAAACTGCTCTCCGCGTCTTTCGAAAGGGATGTACCCTACATTTTCCGTTTCAGGTTTGACACCAAAAATAGAATTATGCACCCTTTTTAGTCCAATTGAAAATAAGTAGTTTTTGAAATTTTTATTTTATCTTATTTCGATAAATTAATTTTTTAAAGTGTGTCATGCGAATTCTATGATATGTTCTATTTTGTGCAGTTCGGCCAAAATCAGCAGAACCTGTGATTCCCGTTAAGTCAGAACACAAATCACCAAAGAGAACTCGGCCAAAAGCTCCTAAGGACCTGCCTGTTCATGGTCACGGTGATCTTTCTGGCAGAAAGAAAGCTTACAGGCAAAGTAAGTGGTATACTTACATTTCTTAATTTGTAGAGGACATTACTCTTTGCTATTAGTTAACTGTTACTTTTTTAGCAAAGGAAAAGATAGCGAAATCAATTTTTTTTTTAAATGCTTAATCCTTTTCAAAAACTCGGATACATGTAGCGAAAAACAAAGTAATGCTGCTATTTAAAAACATGAAAACTTGTAACAAATAAACATGAACAAAACTTGTAACAAATGAATAAACATGAAAACCTGTAACACATTGAAAAATTTTAAGTATCCATCTTGAGCAGTGGGGGCTCAAGGGATAGAGCTTTCGCCTTTCAATGAAATGAACAGAGTTCGAATCTCAGCGATGGCTGGTCGTTACGAATTCCTCACACGGCTCGCACCGACTACAGTACTGACGAAAAATATCCTTAGTGGTTGACTGATCATAGGCTAGAGTTCCTTTGCCGTCAGGCTAACCTTTGAAGGTTTCTTGGTTTTCCTCTCCATGTAAAACAAATGCGGATTAATTCCATCAAAATGTCCTCCACGAAGGCAAATGTCTCCCAATACTTGATCCAGGAGTTATCTTTTCTTCTGGACCCGAAATTGGTCATTCTTTGCACGAAACGTTAAAAATGCCAAAGCTTTGAGGTTTGATAGACCTAACAAAAAAATTGATTGAATCCGAGCGTAACTAATAAGGTGTCATTCTCATGCTCAAAGAAAATCGGTAAAATTTGACTTACCTTCTTGGGAGCTTTTAGCGTTGTGTGCTGGAGCATAATCCTGTTGGACAGTATATTTTTGATCTCAAAAGAACTGTTGTGACCATAACATCTTCCAAACGAAGTCTACAATATCTTGCGATAAAAATATTTTGTTTTAAACTTGGTCGACTCGCATTATCTTCTACAGCCATTTTATTAGCAGAGGGCTGTGGATTTCTTATCTTTTCGTGATTCTTTTAATATGTTTTTTTGAACGAACTGAGAGTGAATGATCAAAACGGGGTCTATCTTTACAGCTGTTAGTACTCAATAATCGATTTATAGCTCTATATATAAATTTTCTATTAAATCCAAGACATTTTAATTGCTTAAATATTCTACCAACAGAAAAATCAGCGATCAAAAATCTGTTTAACCATCAACCTTTTCGACTCCATCTTTAAATTTATTCTAAATGTTTTACTTTAAGCAAAAATCGTCTGCACCTATAGAAAGCGCCAACCACAGGAATATTGAGAGAGAAATTGTTTTACCAAACGATTAGTGTTACAGTATTTAGTAGCTACCCTGTATTTTTTAAACAGGAAAAAATATGATTATTTGAAATGAATATGATTTGAAAAATCAAGTGCAAAAAAATAAGCCTAACTTGTTTTGATTCTTTTACAAGCAACTTCCAAAATCAAGGTGGTCCTTTCGGTAATTTGTGATTGGATCGCAATAGTCTTTCTTATTTAAAAATCTAATAGATAAAAAAAAATTATTTAAAAGCCACAATATAATGTTATCAAATTTTATCTCTTATAGTCTAAAAAAACATTTAAAAATCAGTTAAATATTACCTATTAGTTCATTTTATTTTTCCCATTGGAAAGGTAAATAAGATTATTAGGTACATTTTTGTTAAAATTATTTAAATATTTGAATCATAGCTAACATATTTGAACAATAATAAATTAAACTCAACTTCAAGAAAAAAAATGCTTTGTATGAAAAATTATCTTTTCCCCACCGCAACAACTTTTATAATTATTAAACTGAAACTCAATATGATTGTAGGCCTGCTAATCAAATACCACAAAAATATATTATTTCACTTCAACGTTGATGAGGTAAAATCTTAGTAATTAAATATTTTGATTTGAAACTTTTATGAGCCAATTTTTTATTTCAAATTATCTTTGTCTTTAGCTTTTTTGGCATATAATTACCACACACATCTCTAAAAGTAAAAAGTTTGCTTTAAGTTCGATCTTACCGGGAAGTATGCATAGTCACTGACAATTAACGTGACAAACAAACAATAGTTTTATTTGTTTATACTGGGTGTTTTGTGATTGCCACCCTTAGCATATATTTTTAGTTATGCTTATCAGAATAGACCCTAAAACATTTTACATTAAGTTCGTAAATTATTATTAAAACGAATGAGACGAAATCGGATAAATCACTACAGAGGAAGGTGGGACTCAAATTATCTAAACAGGTTTGATTTTCTAAACAAATACTGTAGAAAAGCGATTATTAAAAAGACTTTTAACGGGGTTAAATTACTCTGTTTTTTGAATAAATTATTGTCATTGTTCGAGGAATAAAATCTTAAATCATTCTTAGGTACTTCTTTAAAAATTCAAAAACTCAAGTTCTTTAATTCTGATTTTTTTATTGTTTTTGAATTCCAAAATTTTTTTAGAAAAGAAACCAAATGAAATTTTTAACTCCCAAATAAGCTGCGTCTAGGAAACACCTCCCAAAAATTTATATCCTCAGGTTTTTTTTAACTAACTTTTTAATTGTTAAAGGAATATGCCTATAATTTTTTTTAAACCAATTTAATTTTAAATCAAGACAAACTCAAATGTTTTAATGTAGATTTTTTTAATTTTTTTTATTCCAAAGTAAAGTTTTTAAGAACGAAAAAAAGAAAGAAATCAACAAATGAAAACAAATCATAACTGGAAAATGAGCTTTATCTGAAAGTTTCCTTAATAATTTTAAACTTTCTATCATTTCCTACACTTCAACGTTCTAAACATATAGAAATAGCCAATTCTTAAATACTACAAAAACTTTCAAGAAAAAAACTTAACGACCAAACTTTCAATCTTCCTTGATTAAAAAAAAACTCCTCTTTTCTCAACTAAGTATATCTTAACGACAGAAGAAGAAACAAACAACAAAAAACATCTCCAAACTATTACAGCCTCCGTCACAACTAAACCCTTGCAATGAGCATCCCACTCCAACTTATTGCTTGCTCTTAAGCATCCTTTAGGAGCAGCGAATCTCAAAATGAAGCCAAGGCTAAGGGAGGGAAATCGATGCTCCTAAAACATATCAGACATACATTTCTTCCAAAAATTTAATACTTTTTTACAGGCGTTGAAAAATCATCGCCACTTGGAATGAAGCCAAGAGCAGTCACCAGACCCCATCCGGCAGGTCCGGGAGGCGACGAAGGCAAAGTCTGGCTGAAGCCGGACAAAGGGGAGGCATCGTCGAAGGGGGATGGTTTAGTGAACGGATTTGCTTCCGAAGAGTCCGAGAGCGGGAAGATGGTTAATGGTGAAGGACCCGATGATCATTCCGTCCAGGAGAAGTTGAGGGAAGAAGCCAAGATGAACGGTGAACATGGTATGTAACATGTGCTTCAACATACCCCCCCCCCAATCATTCAAGCTTTTATAATAGTATGTAACATGTGCTTCAACATTTTTCCCCCAATCATTCAAGCTTTAATAATGGTGTGTAACATGTGCTTCAACATTTTTTTTCAATCATTCAAGCTTTTTTAAAAGTATGTGTGCTTCCACATTTTTTTCCCAATCATTCAAGCTTTTATAGTATGTAACATGTGCTTCCACATTTTTTTTCAATCATTCAAGCTTCTACAATAGTATGTAACATGCGCTTCAACATTTTTTTTCAATCATTCAAGCTTCTATAATAGTATGTAACATGTACTTCAATATTTTTTTTTCAATCATTCAAGCTTCTATAATAGTATGTAACATGTGCTTCAATATTTTTTTTTCAATCATACAAGCTTTTATAATAGTATGTAACATGTCCTTCAACATTTTTTTTTCAATCATTCAAGCTTTTACAATAGTGTGTAACGTGTGCTTCCACATTTTTTCTCAATCATTCAAGCTTTTATAATAGTATGTAACATGTGCTTCAAATTTTTTTTTCTCCATTTATTCAAGCTGTTATAATGGTATGTAACATGTGCTTCAACATTTTTTTTCAATCATTCAAGCTTTTATAATAGTACATGACATGTGCTTCAACATTTTTTTTCAGTCATTCAAGCTCTTATAATAATATATAGCATATGCTTCAAATTTTTTTTTTCAATCATTCAAGCTCTTATAATAGTATATAACATGTGCTTCGTCAATTTTTCCCCAATCATTCAAGCTCTTATAATAGTATATAACATGTGCTTCGTCATTTTTTCCCCAATCATTCACGCTTTTATAATAGTATGTAACATGTGCTTCAACATTCTTTTCTAATCATTCAAGCTTTTATAATGCATAGTATGCAACATGTGCTTCAAAAATTTTGTTTCCAATCATTCAAGTTTTTACAACCCATTATTTAAGTTCAACGTCCTTTTTTAGGAACGATTCTAAAAAGGCATCATAAAAATCGAATAAAATAGCATGAATTTAACCTAAATTTTGTTACAGTACTCATTTTTATTGAATTTTAACAACGATCAATAATTTTTACATCTATCAGTTGCTAATGTTACAGATTCGTAAAAATGATGCATTTTCGTAGGTTATTCAAATGCCGACTCATAAAATGAAGCTTTCTGTAGCTTTCAAAATTTTATAACGATTTTAAACATTCTTAAGTTATTCTAATCCAACAGTTGTTAGAAAGATCATTGGAAGTGGGATTTCACAAATTTTGATGATTACGTTCTTATTTTTTTTTTATAAGTTGACTTTTTTAAATATAACAACAAAATAAAAGCAATAATTTTAAATGCTGTCATTACATTTAATATCACAACACAGTTGGGGAAAAAAGCGACTTAGGTATTAATGATTCGATTAGATATCCGCAAGTGACATCATCTTAGGGAAATCGTGGCATTTGTCAATTCAGTAGCCAATCAGGTTTGACACAACGCGTGACGTCGCTGAGAGGTATTCAATTAAATCTCCTTCAAATCACATGGTTAGGCACAATCACTTCACTTCTTCTTGAGTTGCAAGTACCAAATTGGAAACTGTTAGAGACCACGTCGCTTTCTCTTACTTCTTTAACCCAAAGTTAGTTTCATAATTATTGAAGTATTCATTATCATGGAAGATAATTATTAATATTATTTTAGATAAGTTTTCTGAATTCGGAATACTTAAAAATTTATTTTAAACACATGGACAAATATCATAGAGATAAAGTATATTAAACATACTACTCATTCTTAGTGTAGTTAGAGTCATTAACCGGAGAGAAATTGTTGTTGAAATTGTTTCCCCTCTACCTAGCACATCTCATTCTGTACCTTTTTTCCATATACAGTCGAACCTCTATTTAACGAAATCGCTAAATCCCAATAAGTTCGTTACATGGAAAATTCGTTAAATCGAAAGTCACCTTTTGAAATACTTAAACAACACAAAACAGGTTATAAATTCATAAACACTAGACATAATTAAAATAGCAATTGATACACCTTTATCTTGTAAACTAGTATCTACTATCTATTTTATAAATCGTAACCATAAAAGAAATCTGCATGGAAAGCAAGAATAGAGCAAAACATTATCCAGTGTTACGCTATCATGCTGCATACATTTTCAATTGAAAAAAGCTGAATTTGTGTATAAAATTATAGCAGCATTTATTATAAAAGTAATTTTAAGCATACATTACCGTATGCGTTCTTAAGTTTAATTGCTACAGATAAAATCTGTTACTTTTGTTTGAGTTTTTCGTTTGAAATGCAAACAAAAAGGTAAAGGGATTTTACTGCTTTCTCTAAAAGTTGGGTGTCTTCGAAAATCGATTCAAAGTCATTTCCCTCATAAAATGCGTAAACAAGTTTGAAATATTTTGGGAAACAGGAAAAGAATAAAAGTTCATTAAATAGAAAATTCACTTCGCTATTTGGAAGTTATTTTACGAAGAAATTTCCAAAGTGTTCTTGGTTCCTCGAAAAAAAAAATCGCAAAATGAAAGTTCGTTAAATAGAAGGCAGACTGTATATATTCTACTTCATTAGTTTGTCCAGTACATTTTTTTCCTTAGGCTTATTCCACATTACCTTTCAAATTGCTTTTATCTAAATAAGTAAAACAGAAGTGTGTGTGTGTGTGTGTGTAATTATGTACTTTATACAAATCCGCAATTCTGAACAGATTCGGCCCTAATTTTGTGTAAATACATTCATAGACACGGTGGACCTAACTGTTTACTTTAAAACAGTCTCTGACCACTGGTTTGAGAACTACATGCCAAAGAAAGAGTTTTCCATAGGATTTGATGAATATATTATAGTATGTTTTTATGAATTATTTATCTTTGGTTTCCTGTGTTAGGTTATCACAAGTAAAACCAACATTAATGATTTCGCCAATTATAGTCACCGAATTCGATTTTAAAAAGTAGATGAAACCAGGCGTTTCCTTTATAGATATTTCCGCCTTTTAGAGTGTTCTTCTTTTACGTTATGAGTTGGAAGTTTAACAAGAACTATCTATTAAATCATGGGAAAATTGTAGTAAATTCTGAATATCACATTTAAAATGATGTTATTTTAAATAATTAATCAGTTAAAAGTTATTTGTATCATAGTTATTTGTATTTGACGAGTGAGATCCTCTAACTCATATTATGATAAATACAATGGTATAAATCCGCGACCATACAACAAACCAGAAAAAAAATAATAAACGTTGTGTATTATAAGCCATGTACATGTAACATGGTAATATTAGGATACTTATCCGCTTCGGAGAGTGGTAAGAAATCTTTTACCATAGTACCTATATGAGGTACCTATGTTGGTATAATAGATTCCCATTACCGCAGTATTTATAACTACAATAACAGTAATATTTAATACCAAATTTAATATGATATCTGAGTCGAAAATAGCAGCTTTGCGACTTTTTTTATACTATAATTTCACGAAATAGAAATTTACTAAATAAAATAATTAACTATGTTATACTAATTAACTATAATAATTAATTAATTAATTTTATTACTGATCAATTATTTTAAAAATAAAATAAAAAAATAACGGATAATTTGACAATTTTTTTTATGAAATGTGTGTTGATATTAGTTCGTTTGCCGAAAATAGTCATATATAAAAAGAGAACCGTAAAAATTGCCATATTGTTATTGACGTCGGTGATACTTAATTAATTTTTAAAATAGACAAAATTGAAATTTTAAAAAAAGTTTTGTTTTAAAAGCTAACTTAATGGAGAAAAGGTACTTATCTAGAAAATCCATCGCTTTTCTACCAATAACGCCAATGATAGTTTTAGTAATAGGTATTACAACTATTATGTTAATTGTTTTTTAATGGGTACTAACTATACTGATACTTATATATAGATACCTACTATAGGTAATGTAGGTATTGAGTTTTGCGGGGCATGGAAGGGATAAAGTACAGGAAAAAATTGATGATTATGGTAATTTTTGACAGTTGACTTCGAGAAATAGTAACACCAAACGATAACTGAATATAATTAATCTTTATTTTGACAAGATGAGCTTACCGAAACATGTTTGCTTAATCTGATAACATAAATCCACCGAGAAGGGCTACAAATAATAAAAAAATAAACCAATTATTTAATTGTGTCGGTATGTCTTCCATTTTTTGCATGGTTCCTTTCAGTGTTGATTTACGCCATTTTATCGATCATTTGTTCTTTTTCAACCCTTACAAAGAATGGGTATTCAGTTAGTTATCAAATAAAACAGAAATATACTCTAAGACATTAATTTTATTAATTGAAATGTAAGATGTTTGAAATTGGTGATTGAAAATCCTGTCAGAGAATAATCTAAGAATATTTATTGATTTTATTGAAACCTTAAAAGAAAATCAATGTTTAGAAAAAAGAAATAATCTTAAGAATGAAAATAGACTACTTGTCTCCTAAATTTATTATATAATATTAAAATAAATCAGCATAAATAATTCAATTTAAAATATAAATGATAAAAAATTAAATATAATTAATTTTAGAGCACGCTAACGGTTGAATTTTTCATTTTGTATGATTTTTTTTAAATTAAAAATATTATAAGTATCAAAAGATTTTTTTTTAAAAAAAAAGGTTTTGTAAAAGAATGAAATATTACGTACGCCATTTATTTGCAGAAACATATTATTCATTTGTTCAACCGCATCAAATAAATGCATTTAAATCATCTCAATCCTTTTCAAATTTATTCAAAAATTCATTTTTTATAAGCATTCCCTCCTTGGAACGGAATAACTTTACATCATGCGACTCAACTATTTGCTTATGACTAATGTAAACAACTCTTGTTTATTTTTTCTAAATCTCTACATGACGCAATGCTTAAAAATATCCTTGTCATTTAACTAAAAAAAAAAAACGCTGTTTTTCCATTTCCTACTTTCCTGAGGTGAACATATATTTATCTTAAGTCCGCTGAGATCGTCGTTTTCCAACCGTAAAACTATGTATAATTGATGAGATATTCTGGGTAAGAAGTTTCCACTGGATGCGTGAGTTACTAGGTCAGTATTATTGGAGCTTGTATTTCTTTTATTTAAAGAGCTCTTACTGAATTCCTTCTTTCTTCTGAAGGCAACGAGTCTCCAATACACTTGTTTACACACTTTCCGTTTAAAAAAAGAATTGAAAAGTAATTTTTTTTTCTCGCACGAAATCGATGGAGATAATCGTGAAAGGTAAATATTTCTTTTGATGTTTTTTTTAAACAACACTTAATTATTTGCTTTTAATGTTTCAACCTAATTCGTTCCAAATTGTGAATTTTCCTGGTGTATAACTCAGGATATGGCTGTTATGTAGCTGGCCTATCGTTTTCATTTGTAAAATTAAGGATTACGTACAAGATTTCAAGATCAAAAATGAACTAATGCTATTTTTTTATGAAATTATATTGAATTGGGATTATTTATTAATCTTCTTTAAAACTACATCTTTATTCTTTCTCAGTTCCAGTGATGAAATATCCGGCTAAAGTTCCGCTCACTACGGTCAAATCTCCGGAAGAAGTGACCGGGGTCCGATCTCCTGATCCCGAATCGTGGACTGTGCCTTTAGAGATTGGTAAAGGCCTGCATTGGATGGATGGAAAAACTCCAGGTATGTTCATTCCTTCCTTTCTCGTAATTTTATTTTTTGAAGTGTGTGATTTTGAACATAACAATTTTCGTATTTGGTTGTTTAATTATTAAGTATCTGCACATTACTATTGGTATTAATGGGGTGTTCATCATCTTAATTTTCACTATGAGGATAACTTAGGCATTAATGCAGAGGGGAATATTTCCATATCGTGATCGGTCTCGCCAACTACAATCGCCAAGGTGCCAAATAGATTTTTAAAAAAACATGTTATAGATGTTTGCCCGGGGGTCGCTACGAGTTATAGCTTTCGAGTTGGTCCCTTTCTGTGATGTTTTTTTTTTTTTTCCTTCTTTTTTTTTTAAGTTTCTTGCGGGCCACTTGCCGGAAGTTTCCAAGATTTGGATTCTGCCACAGATCATAGGCAGAGCTGTAAATGTGTTATAAATGTTGCTGGTATGTGCTGCAGCTCACCGCCGTTCTTTTCATTCTCTGCACAAGAATTTTATAGGTTATCTTAAATTTTTAAGAGGTTTCGTACAAAACCTTGTCTCCAAGATGCTTGAAATGGAAAGATCCATTTAATTAACGTACAGTGAATAAGGTAACCGTTTCGTTGTACTACATAATAAAAAACTTCATTCGCTTCAAAAATATACAAATTGGAAATAAGTCATACTTCAAGCGCTCAAAAATAGACGCCCATCTTCAAGACTTGCCAGACGTGAATGAGAAGAAACAAAAATGATTTAAAATTAAATCGGAAAGTTTTTCGTGGGCAACTTTACATTTTATATTTCAAATCACTTTTTTTCTTCTCATTCACGTAAGACAAACCTCGAAGATGGGAGCCTATTTTTCAGCACTAGAAACTTGTCGACTGTTATTTTCAATTGGTAAATTTTTGAAACGTATGAAGTTTCTAATATAGTAATATCTTACCCCCTGAGTTTCTTGTACTATTAGAAAATTTTTAAAAAAAATGTGATTGCACCACTCTTTAGTGTGTACTAGAGTAGAAATCTGATTGAATTGTCTGATGAATTGTCTTTGAAATCTGATGTCAATTTCTGTTGTTTAAAATACTTTTAAACCACGAAAGCATAACAACTTAATGAGTTAGTGATAAAAAATATTAAGGTTTTAAACTTTGTCGAGATTATTTTGTTTGTTACTCTTTATAAATATTTAGTGTACTATAAAATTTAGGAAAAATTGTTTCTCTGTTTTTTTTAATTTCTCAGATGGCGTCCAACCAAAAGGCCCACCCACTCTCTTGTCTAAACGACTTAAAGAGTCTTCCCTTGTCGGCAAGAGCCAAAAAGATTTAGTAATATGTGATCCAGGTAAATGTATTCTAACTTTCCATTTTTTTACTCGTTATGGTTCTCAAACTATAAAACTTTCAATTTAAATTTTTCGTTTAGAATTTTCGTTACTTAGAGATAAGTTTCTCTTTTTCGTATATATTTTAAATTTTTATCTAAATAACTTCATTTATTTGTGTGCATACTCGGTTAAACCAAATAGTTATGTTATCGCGGTTCTTTATTAGTTATATTTTCTTAGCATACAAATGTTTCATCCTTAGTGAAATTATTAAAGCTATGTATTATTATCATTAAAAAAAAATTCGTTCACTACTCAGACCACTTGGAGCGAAAAGGAGAAAAACGCGACACAAGAGGTTTTGTATACCTTGCCTTACGCTAACCGAATTGCTAGCTTAATTTTTTACCGAGATATCGCGATCTGTAGGAAAATTTCGCGCGTAAATTCACACAGCGTTAGAATTAAGAGAAACCGAAACACTTTGCTAAATCTCTTTAATAAAAGAGATTTATTTTTTACTTTCAAGCAGCGTCCCACACATTTATACGTAATATTAAGAACAATCTGGCGATGAACCTACGTACGACGTGCTAAAACCTCTTTCATGTAACGAAGATTACCAGCGTTTGAAACGTTTGCTTTTTCCTTAATCGCAAAGTGGATCTTTAGTAATTCTGGAATAAACCGTCACTTTTTAACGCTACATTACGACTAATGTTTCAATAATCCACAATCTCACATCGCAAGTGATATTCACACAGTTAACGTAATTTCCGAATTATCCGTCGGAATTCGCTCTTTACGCGGTATACAAATTAACAATCGCAGTTACGTCATGATTCATATCCATGCGAATTATGCATCGAAAGTCGTACGAAAAACTCGCCTCATGATTTTCGATTCATAGGTGATCAGTATCATAACAATTAACGTGTAGATCAAGATATTTTTAAAACTTATACACTATCTGCCAATAAATATTTGGACACGTGTGATTGATAAGAGAAACAAGCTTTATTCATAATCAGTAGTTTGTAGAGCCTACACGAGAGGCAATTACAAAGTGAACCCTCCGTGGCTAACTTTCCACAAGTCCTTGTGTGACGGCTACTGGTATTTTCTTCCACTCGGCTTGGAGACGACATGTAAGTTCCTTCACCAATTTTGGACGAATAGCACACCCCTTAATTCGGCGATACAACTCGTCCCAGAGGTTCTCGATACAGTTCAGGTCTGGGCAGGCCAGTCCATTTAATTTACCCCATTGGCACCATACCAAGCCTTGGTGACCCTCGCAAATGACAGCTGGCATTGACGTTTTGAAAGTAACAGTGGTTCGCCCCATAAAATTGCCACAACGTAGAAAGCACATTGTCATTCAAAATAGTGCAGTAAGCATCGGCGTTGAGCTCACTATGATTGGGGACCTAGGGTCCCAATTCATACCATGAGAAACACTCCCAGACCGTAATTCCACCTCCACCGAACTTGACTGTTGGCACAATGCATTCTGGCAGGAGACGTTCTCCAGGCATACGCCAGACCCAGACATCTGAACGGTAGAGGGTGAACCTTGATTCGTCGCTCCAAAGAGCTGCTTTCCACTGATCTACGGTCCAATTTCGATGTGCTTTGCACCATATTAACCGAGCAGTGCTGTTGGACTTTGTATTCAAAGGCTTATGGGCAGCAGCACGACCTTGTAAACCAAATAAATGTGCTTTCTTACGGATGGTATTAATTGAAACAACACTCCCGGATGCTTGTTGAAACTCCTGGAGTATGCGGGCCATCGGCTGGGTGCGGTTCTTCCGAATTTCTCTGGACAACATCCGTCGGTCTATTCCCAGTTTCGTTGGTCCTCCGACTCAGGGCCCTTTCCGACAGTCACAGCTCACCTTAATCACATGAGTCACCGTCTATTTTGGGTAATTCAGCTCGCTAAATATGTCCCTAAAGGATCGGCCATTTCTGTGATACCCGACAATTATACCTTTTTCGAAATCAGAGAGCTCCGAACTGTGTGGGACTAATGCCAATCTCTACACGATATATACCTGCGGAGGGCGTGACGTATCTCAGGCCCGCAGATATAGTCATTTGCATAGGTGTCCAAATGCTTATTGGTAGATAGTGTGTTAATAGAACTTAGAAAACGTTGAGCATAATCATCGCATATGTGGATGCAAGTCATATGCAGGATGTCTCAGCTTAACAAGATGGATAACAGAGACTTAGAAGTGGCATTATAAACTGCTGTTTGTAGAAAATGCAACACCATGAAAGAATCATCAGAATCAAATGAAATTTAATGCAGAAACGACTTGTACTGATACAAATAAATGATGAAATTTTCAAAACAAAAGAAACAAATTAAGCGTCCGAAATCAGTATTTGGTGCAGCCACCACGCGCTGCAATAAGTGCTGCTATACGACGTGGCATGGAGTCAAACAGATGTTGAATATCTGCTTGAGGAAGAGAATTCCATATCGCTTGTATGCGCAACCAAAGTTCGTCTTTGGAAACTGCAGGACGCGGATCACGAGTGAGACGCCGACCAACCATATCCCACACGTGCTCAATAGGCGACATATCCGGCGAATAAGCAGGCCAAGGAAGAAGTTGCATGCGTTGTGCTGAACAGAAGTCTCTAACAGTCCGCGCAACATGTGGGCGTGCATTATCCTGCTGAAAGATAGCTCCAGGGATGCCTTGAAGGAAAGGAACGACTTCGGGCTGTAGCACTTCACGGACGTATCTGTTGCTATTGAGATTACCCTCAATTCGTATCAAATTGGATCGTCCATGATACGAAATCGCACCCCAGACCATAACTCCGGGTGTTCGACCACTATGTCGTTCAATAATACACTCAGGAAGGCAGCGTTGACCGGCATAACGTCTAACACGAACACGGCCATCATGGGTCCACAAATTGAAGCGTGATTCATCTGAAAAGACAACTTGGTGCCAATCAGCTCGCCAGTCTCTGTGCTCAAGAGCCCACTGCCGACGCAGCCGTCGATGATCCGCCGTGAGGGGAATCCTGTATAATGGCACCCTTGCACGCAATCCACGGCGCAGCAGACGACGACGAATTGACGAAGCCGACAATTGTACACCTGTAGCAGTAGACCAATGTGCTGCCAGCTGCCTGGAGGAAGCTGTGCGATCATTCACCGCCATGCGGAGCAGGTGTCGATCATCGCGCTCTGACGTCACCTTCTGTCGTCCAGTGCCTGTTTTTCGAGTTGTTCGGTGCTCGTCGGTCCACTGCTTCCAAACTCGCATCACTGTGGAACTGTTCCGCTGCATACGAGCTGCTATTGCGCGATAGGAAAATCCTCCTTCTCGAAGGCCGATTATCCTCCCTCGTTCAAACTCCGTAAGTTGCTTGAATTTCTTATTCTTCCGTCGTGGAGGCATACTCAGGTCTCACTAAACGTTTGCCACTAACAAATAATCATAGACTATTTTCAACGTCCCGCTACAGCACTTTATTTATACGCTTTCAGCATCAATTCAGAGGGCGCTGCGCGCGCCACGCACGCGCGATGGCTCTGAAACTTTATTAATTTGCATAATATCCTATATCCATTATTAAAATAATATTTCATTTGATTCTGATGATTCCTTCATGGTGTTGCATTTTCTACAAACAGCAGTTTATTTATAATTTGCTTAACAATATGGTTTTTTTTACTTGTCATCATTTAAAGTTTCATTTTAAATTATAACAGCAGCATATCAGCAATCCCTTTAAAATCATTTGCAAATTTTATATAATGAAAACTAAAATTATTCTATTTATAAAATTCTATGCCTATTCAATTTCGATGTGTTAAATACACATACCGCAACTTTTTCCCTTAGCTAAAAAAATTGGAAATTCCAATAATTTAAAGAATAAATAAATCCCTGACTTCAAAAATAAGAACATTTCATTTCTTAAAAAATCTACTTTTCATGTCACAAAAATGGCACTTTATGAAACCCATATCTCGTATTTACTAAACTGAAATCGAAGCTGCTACACTTTTGAACTTGCAATGTATTCTAAACATATTTCAGAATAAAATATGCGCCTCCATTTTATTTAATATCACTCAGAAACTGAATAATAATTCCCCTTTGAACCATAAAGAATAAAAATATTGATTTTAGAAACTATTTCTCTTTTTTAGTTGTGGCGGGACGCGGAATTCGTTTTAAGAAGTTCTTTCTGTATAACATTTAAATATAGATCAGGTAGATTTTAAATAGTTGTGTGTATGTTCTCATAAATCATTCATATCATAAAATTCTAAATAATCGTTTTAATTTTTTGTTTAGTTACTTTTTAAAATTTAACAATCCAAGGTTTCAGCAACGTGCAAATGATTAAAAAAAATGGCAAAAAAGATAAAAATTTAAGCAAAAAAATTATTATTTGAAGAATAGAGAGCCATTTTAGTGAATTTTAGAAATCCAACTTCAGAAAGTTTATAACATCATAAAACATTTTTTTTTCTATTGAAAATCTTTTTTAAATTGTAAGAATAAACTAGTATCGAAATAACCACTCTAATCCATTACAAGACGACCAGAAAAATACTTCCTATCGGCCGGAATTCCCTGGTTGGTAGGACGCTGGGATCGCGCTCGTGAGAACCGAGAGTTCGAATCTTGCCGACCGAAGAATCCCCGTGTATTAAATAGTGACTGGTGCTCGTTAAATCTGTCGGGCTCACAAAGTCCTCCAAGTTCCCATAACAAATCAGCGTCTACGGATACAGATGTGGAGATTGATCATTCTCTAGCTCAGGTCAAAATTACGATCAGTGAATGAATGAATAAAGATTAATTGAGCTCTTCTCTGTAAAACGGGCTGTGATGGGCGTGTGGCTGAAGTTTTATTCTTGGCGCAACTGAAAAAACAAGAAACGCACCCTCTGACTTAAAAATTCGCTTTATTTTAGCAGCACTCAGGAGCTATTTGATTTTGTGTGCTATCGTGTGTTATAGATATAGATTTCTCATCAATTTTATTTATATTTATAAACACTGAATTTATAAATTCGTGGCAGATTAATGCAGACTAGAAAAACTGCACATGCTATTTAACCTGAAATATTTGTGTGGGCGTGTGTTATTGCACGGTGTATAACACGGAATTTACAAATTCGGTTATTAGCACATTCGGTTATATTATTTCGGTTCATAAGCACAGAGGATCACGTTTATGGTCAATTCGTTTTAATAAGTAAACTTCTAGAGCAGTGATGGTTCAAGGGATAGAGTGCTCGTCTTCCAATGAGGTGAACCGGGTTCGAATCCCAGCGATGGCTGGTAGATACGAATTCCACACCCGGCTCACACCGACCACAGTGCTGACGTAAAATATCCTCAGTAGTAGACGGATCATGGGTTAGAGTCCCCTTGCCGTCAGGCTAGCCGTATGAGGTTTTTCGCTCCGTGTAACGCAAATGCAGGTCAGTTCCATCAATAAGTCTTCCACAACGGCAAATTTCTCCCATTACTTGATCCAGGAGTTTCTTTGTCTTCAGGATTGGGTTCAAAATTACAAGGCTACGGAGTTAAACATTAGTAGTCGTAAACCCAAAATTGGGTCGGCTGTTCAACGACGGTTATAAAATAAATAAAAAAAATTCTGAAAATCCTACCCACCTTTCAGCAAAAAAAAAAAAAAAAATTCTTAAAAATTAAATTGATTTTAGGTAATAAGCTAGATGTATTTCTTTTTTAAATCAGTATCAACTCTAACATAAATTTAACATAACATTACTAGAATAAAATGCTCCTATAAAGGTTTTTTTTTATTTTTTAAAAGAATTTTTTTTTAACTTTTAGACGTACGGTTGGCTGCATTCTTCGTAGGAAACAAAAAAAAATATTAATCTCGCCATATTTCAAAATTAGTTATGAAATTCGTCGTAAGATCATGCAGACTAGAAAAACTATGCAGGCTAATCCAACTGAAATATTAGCACAAGCGTTTGTTATTTATTTTTATTACTGCAAATGTTGGTTACTTTTAAAGTATTGTTTCAAAGTTTCTCAAAAAATGATATATAAAAAATTTAAAAAAGTACCATTTGTTGTAAAGCTTTGTTTCAAAATTTGAAACTTATTGAGAATTAATAACTAGTTTCTAAAGCAGAACACAGAAAACCGTACAATTCCATGTCCTGCCATTGTTCTTTAATTGGTTTTTCAAGTTTTCTGACATTTTTGGGACAACCTTTATTTTTAGTATGTTTCAAAACTTAAAAAATAAGGTGTTTTGGTCGACTGCGGGAAAGAAAAAATATAACTTTCTATTTAATCTTTTTTTTTCTTCTAATTTTTAAATAATAAGTAACGTTCTTTTAAACTTTTGAAACTAAATTGCCAATATAGAGCATCAATTTATTCTGATAAGCTTTTTAATAAGATAGTTTTAATAGAAGAAATTTTTTATCAACAGCTTTGCTAATTTTATACACTCTAAAACATGCATTTTTTATATTCACTAAAATTTCAACTACCATTATAACAACTAGAAAGTTTAACTTGTTCTTTTATTATCCATTGTAATCGTAACCTCTATGAAAATTTTTAAAAAATTTCTAACAGTACCTAACATTTCTACAGGTGATTTTGCAAACACCTTTTTAGTGTTTCTATATGTTCAGAACCTGACTAAGGGAGGGGTATAAGGGCATTTGCCCCGGGGTTCCCAAATCGAATAGAAAGTTTATTTGAAGTTTCCTTTCTTAATGAGCTTTTTTTAAACAAAATATCAGTAAAGTGTAAAATACGTCAGGTTTACGTTAGCTTCTTCATTAATCTATCTTAAGAACACAATCTATACTTCGTAAATTCAGTCGTCAAATTTTCGTAATTACGATGGACAAATTTGGCCAATCAAAAATCTGTATTTTTGCATATCGCAAAATGCTATAAGTTAACAAAAATTCAAACTTCCGATTGTCTTCATTGAGCTATCGTAATCGCCAAAATTTAGCTGAATTCCGCCCTAATGTCAGCAAGGATATGAATTTTTCGCAGCTGGAACATAGAATTGTCAGAAAATCAATAAAATGGACAGAACGATATTTCGTCTGACCTTTGGAGGGGGAGGGGGGATGAATAGCTTTTTAGGCTCTAGTTATTTTTCTTGTTGTATATAATGAGGTGAAAAATTTAAATACCTCCATAAAGTTCGGTTCTTCATTACTGAAGTCGTGAGGCAGGGGGGGGGGGGCAATTAAGGCTAAGTCGGACCCTGTCTATGTTGTAAAACTTTTTCATCACTCGCCTTCAATTTTACTTAACATCTTCTATTTTCGACTGTGAACATTACTTCTATGAAAATTAAGAAAGTAAATGGTTTTCTAACGGAAATTTTGTAAACAGCTAGCTGGTGTTTCTATATTCTTTTTATATTCAAACATTTTCTTCTATTTTCCACTATGATCAGGGGTCTGTCCAGACATTTTGTGAAAGGTCCGTTTTTGTGAAATTGTGAAAAAATTACTCGTAATTTGTGAATATAAAATAAACGTTAAGTCACATTCTTTCAACCAGGGTCCTGCTTTTGTGAATTTGTGCAAATAGGGTCCTATTATTGTAAAAAACTTTTTCAAGGAGTTTTTAAGTTGTAAAGACATACAAGATTATGCTCAACACTGTAAAATTATAATTTAAAAAAATTAAATTTTAAAAAATAAGCAGCAGTTGCTGCTATTAAATTAGAGATGTAACATACAAATATTTGGTATTTAGCCTATCCTGCTGAACGCAGAATATTCATTTCGGACGAATAATGGAAGAAGCGTCTGCCGAAGACAAAACTTAGTTCGTTTATAACTGTCCTTCCCCCCCCCCTCATGGAAGGGTTTATTCGATTAACAAAACAATTATGAAGATAAATAAATTTGTGAAGGGTCCGATTAAAAGATAAATTATTTTGTGAAGGGTCCGTTTTTAAGTTAAAATATTTTGTGAAGGGTCCGTTTTCAGGAAAAGATATTTTTTGAAGGGTCCGTTAACGGATCCAAATTTCTCCTAAACAGACCCCTGATGATGTTTCCTCCATAGAAATAATTTTCTAATGGTAACTGGTAATTCTAGTTTGATTTTTTTTTAAATTTAAGTTCAAATGTATGATATTTTAAGTATTTTTCTTTTCCTTAATAGGTAGTGAAGCTACGGGAGAAAGTGTTGACCTATAATTTATCTGCTTATTAGCCCTTTCGCCAAATTTCACTGACCACAGCTATCACTCGCCGAGGTCTGGATGACAAAAGAACTAAATAAAAAAAATGACAAACGAGTCCCTTCAATTTGACCTGCGTTTAAACTGCATAATATATATTTAATTATCGTCTTTCTGTCCTGCAGATGATTCTTGTTCGTTTGAATGAGTAGAACAAATTTAGAAAACTCATATGAAGTGAGGATGTTCAGATTTCAAAATGGATAAAAGGATCCAAACTACCTTAACCCTACTCATCTGTTTAGAATCGAAATTTCAGATTTTTAGATGGATGAAAAGATCCTAACTACCTTAACCCTACTCATCTGTTTAGAATCGAAATTTCAGATTTTTAGATGGATGAAAAGATCCTAACTACCTTAACCCTACTCATCTGTTTAGAATCGAAATTTCAGATTTTTAGATGGATGAAAAGATCCTAACTACCTTAACCCTACTCATCTGTTTAGAATCGAAATTTCAGATTTTTAGATGGATGAAAAGATCCTAACTACCTTAACCCTACTCATCTGTTTAGAATCGAAATTTCAGATTTTTAGATGGATGAAAAGATCCTAACTACCTTAACCCTACTCATCTGTTTAGAATCGAAATTTCAGATTTTTAGATGGATGAAAAGATCCTAACTACCTTAACCCTACTCATCTGTTTAGAATCGAAATTTCAGATTTTTAGATGGATGAAAAGATCCTAACTACCTTAACCCTACTCATCTGTTTAGAATCGAAATTTCAGATTTTTAGATGGATGAAAAGATCCTAACTACCTTAACCCTACTCATCTGTTTAGAATCGAAATTTCAGATTTTTAGATGGATGAAAAGATCTTAACTACCTTAACACTATTCATCTGTTTAGAATCTGAAAGTTAATAATTCATCTAAGTTATAGCTTAATTGATTAAATAGCACTTGAATTCAAACTGAACAGAAATTATGCTAATAACTCGCGTAATTTAACACATTAATGGAAAACAATTTGCAAAATCCTTCCGGCTTATTCTGCATTTTATTTTTGTAAACATTTTTGGAGAATATGTCCACCAAAAATTGAAGCATATATTTTTATAAATATTTTAAATTTAAATCATAAAATTATTTATTTTTATATTGCTCTTAATTTCTGAAAATTAGAATTTTCGGCTAGTATTAAAGCTAAATTAACTCAATATTGGCATGCAATACTAATTTAGTAATTCATTTGGTTACCTCTACTAATGTAAAGTTAGCGACTATAAAATAAATTGATGGTTTAGAATTTAAGCATAAGGATGAAAATGTTATAGACCGCAAATCAAATAGTATTTACAAATCATGATAAACTAATACATGATGATGAAAATTTAAATGCATGTACTCATTCAATAAGATTCAAGAATTGTCTAATTGTCTCATCCATTTATTTATGTTGGAGATGAATTTACAATGATGTATTTACATTGTTTTTAGAAATAATAATTTACATATTTTATTAGTTCAACTTAGTGCTTTAAACATATTTTAAACATTTTAGTTGAACTAAAAATTTACACTATATATAGCAAGATTAAATATAAATTATATTTATTTCTAGAAATTTTCCTACAATTATTTTAAAAAGAACCAGCTTACAAAAGTCTTGTATGTTGTGATACTTTGAACAATTTATAAATAAACTTGATATTTGAATGAATTGATACTAGATATGATGAAAGTTTTCTCAGTGTATAAATAAATAAAATAAACAATAACATTTTACAATATAACTATCAACATGTTATTTAACACTAATTTTTATTATTGTAATTTTTTATTCATAAATTTAATGTTATTTGATAAATTTAAAATATGAAACTTCTATTTTATATATTATGTGTGAAATAGAAATTTTTTTTAGTTATTTTACGATAATATGAGCTAATATTTATTTTAAAACATAAATTGTATGTTCATCTCCAAGTTTATAGTTATATGTGTAAATAATGTAAATAGTCAGGAGTAGTCACGCTATGTTTTCTGTGTAGTGTACAAGGGGTTAAAAATGAACATTTTGCTGTGCTTGAAAAGTGGTTCCTAATTGCTCCTAATATTTTTGTTACATTTATAAGTTGTATTACTTATTTTCTACTTATTAAGCTTATAGCCATTGTAAAACTAAGTGATCATCTAAAAACTACCAAGCAACGAAATGATATTTAAACCAGTTATTACTTAACTAGTGGATTTAAGCATCTTTAACAGTTTATTTATAGATACTAAATCATATCACTGCAATGTCTATGCTTGCAATATTAAATAAATTTGAAAGTTGGTGATATTAGTAAAAGGTATATAGACATTAAATTTAGGCAGTCCTAACCAAATTGTAATAAACATTAAAAAAATATGTAAAATTTATCCGATAGTAACATATCTGATAAATTGGTTTTATTTAGAAGGTGCTATTTTAGTATTAGGTTAGTAAAATGTATTGCTCAAATTGGTTTGTTTAAAATATATGTATCATTAAAATTTTAGATAATTGAATTGAGCTTCTATTTAAAAAACTAGGTCTACCATTAATGCTAACACTTAACATTTGAAACGAGGAAATAAACTACAAATGAACATTTTTGTTTTAATTAGTTAGAAAGATAAAAATAATCGTACTTTTATTTAAAATAATTTTATTCTCATTGTTATTAATTATTGTGGGATTTATTATTAATGTATTAAATGTTCACTAGCATCTAATGATAACACATTTACTAAAATAAGCAGGGTGTTTAAAAAATGCTTGTAAATTTTTTTTTTTTTTTCAAATTATGTTCTAAAGTTTCTTTCCACCACTTCCCAGTAAACATTTCATTGCTCAACAAATATTTCATCGCTCAGTAATAAATATCTCATAGTTCAAAAGTCTTATGTCATGACTTCATTATTATTTATAATTAAAAAATAGTTTGGGGCTTTTCGTAACTTTTGGAAAATTTGACTTTAAAAATTTATTTTGTCGATGTTTTAAATCGATAAAAATTTAAAAAAATAAACTGCACAAAATGTCCCTAATAACAAGGGAAACAATAATGATTTCTTCCTAAACTTCTTATGAATCCCTTAAAAGCAGCAATTTCTTCTAAATTGACGATGAAAAATTCACCTTAGTACCACAGTTCAACTAAGTTCTTCAAATTAACCAATAGCAATACTAGAGATATTAACTTTGAGCTTTTGCTATTTTAGACACATGTACAATCTTGTATTAACCAATACAGTTTGTAAAACAGTTAAGACTACAAAATGAAGCATAAATTCAACAAGCATTCTAAACACCCTGGGAGCTGTAATATGCGGATGAATACCATATTAAAATTTAAAAATTGAAACTTTATCATTACCCTTCCGCTCATTTTTTCTATTGATTTTACTGTAGTTACTAAAATTAGCCAAAAAGTATTACTTTTATCCGAATTGTTTTAAAACGCAGGTTCGTTCAATGTCGGGTATAAAGAGGTGGTACCAGTTGGTGGATAGTAAAACTAACACCTTTTGGTCAAAAAATGAACTCCGTAATCAGGTAAAGATGGCAGATTTTATTGCATAAGTATACATTTTTATCTTGAAATTAACAGATTTTATAAATCTTCACCCACCTGTCTGATAAATCCTGGTGCCACCCCTGCAGGTAGTGAGACAGTCAACATCCGTACTGACCGAGAGTCACCAAACGATAATTCATAGAATTGAGAGATTCTGGGTCATCGTATCATATTACACTGCCTTCGTTTCGCTTTGCCCAAATTATGGGTCTCTCATTTTGACCCTTATATAATATTTGTATAGATTTATAGATTTCCAAGAAGTTCTAGCTTTTAGGCTATTGGTCAGCTGTAGCAATGGTTGAGACTAAGTTTTCACTTCCCCGAACTATCTCATCTTTAGAAAAGTATCAAATAAGCATAAATTATATATTTAGGAAAATTTTAACGTTTTTGAGATATTTCTTCTTGCTTCTAGACTAAACATCAAAATGAAAATATTTTTGTTAAAAAAAAATTTACTTTGTTAAATCTGTAACTAATATACTTGACTATTCATGCGCCACAAAAACTACTCAGACAATCACAGTTTAATTATGTTACAAAACTTTTGCTTTAATGTCAAAATTATTGGTCATTTTTAGAAATCTAAAAATCATAGTTTTGACTTTAAGTATATATGTTTGATTTATCAATTTTATTCAAACCATTTCACAAGATTAAAAAATACAGTTTTAAGAAATTTTAAATTTCTGAAATTCATTTGAGGAAATAATGTATATTAAAATCATTTATTTATAATTACTGCAACATTAAAAATAAGTCACAATTATTTTTAGAAAACTCAATCAACACTGAAATTTTGTGTTATACAGTGCTTATTAAATCAGATTTTGATCATATATTTGTTTTTTAAATTGAGGAAAATATGCTTTATTCAAAAAATAAATCTAAACTAATGTGAAACATGGATTTGTGTACACAACTAATTTTTGAAACATTTTATTAAACATACATTAAGAATTTTTTTATTGATATGATTTTCATGTTTTTAAATTGTTAAAATTTGTGAATTTTGAAATCATATCCAAAATTTTGAAAAGTATAAAATAAATTAATACAATTAAAATTACAACATATGCTTGCTTATATTCACTTTTCAAACTTATATATTAATTTCCTTCAATTTATGATGAACTTAATTGAAACAGATCCTTAAAATTTTCCAAACTAATAAAATTGAATTTTTTTCTCTTCACATCAACTTAGTTCTACCATTGCTGCACTATTAAAAAAATGTAATTGACAGATAATTCTACTTCATCTCTATTGTAAAATTTTTTGATACTCAAACTAAACTATGCTTTATATACATTTTTTTTAAAAATTATTTATTAAAAAAATATTTTGACATTATATAAAAGATCCTAAAAAACTAACTGGTGACACATAAACGAAAATTAACATGTAAAAATTTAAGAGCATTCAAAATCTAAATGATTTTCTACACCATTTTCATATGGTAGAAAACAATGTTAGAAAAACTAAGTGTTTGTGTTAAAATAACTGCATATAGCTTACTGTCAACCATTAAAGTTACAAAATAAAGAAGAAAAAAATTCTGTATATATATTTCTGTTATACCCCTGCACATATGTATAAATAAAATTAGAAAATTGTAAGGTGCACCATATTACTTGTCATGAAGATCAAAAGGAAAAAAAAAGACTGTTAATTCATGGACGAAAGAATGCAACACACCATGTCTCTTCCCACTAGTTGGCTAAAACAATACATAATTAGGAACTTACAAATTGGCCAGCAACAGAAGAATGTAACTGTGCATGTATCTGAGTCTTTAACCCATAAATGTCGGTTGATTACTGCATCTGTGTGGTTGTGAATTGTAGTGATGATTGAGCTTTCTAAAGTATGGTTAATAAAAATCATTCCAGTAAAGAGTTGGTTATTACTTTAGTACTGTCTTCATTTGCGTGTAAAAAATTGGACAACAAGGGTGCATAGCCAAATTATTCAAGAAAAAATAAGAACTTTTCAAGCACTCAAAAAATATTTTAAGCACTTTAAAAAATATCATAATTAGGCAGGGTTGGAAATTTTTTGGCAATTGACGGTTTTATTTTGCTTTAACCGTCATGTCGGGGGGAAAAAAAAACCTTTTGGCATTGTTTTTTACAATAGTCAAAACTCATGAAATTTTGAATTATCTAAAACGAATGGCGTTTTCATACGCTTCGGACTGACAATAAGCAGAAGTAGATCGATTGGGTTTGAATTAATTGTGAAAAAGTTGAATAGAACAATGCGAACTGTGTCTTTTTGCATAATTCGTAGCGAAAATCAACATGGTATAGGAAAATTTTCATTTTGTAAAAAAGAAAATTAAGGGCTTTGAAAAATCGAAAATAAGCACTTTTTTAAAAACGCTACGCACCCTGTTTGTATGTAAAATATTGGACAAATATAAGGAAAAATTTAGTAGACAGAGGTATTTTTTTTTTTTTCAATGGTAGCCAAGGGAATGGCATACGTCATACAGGCATCTGAAGGGCAGACTTGTTGATCACTTTTGCAGGGGCACCATATTAGATAGGCCAACTCTGCTCCCACAGTACAGAGAATGAAAGAACATCCATGTCTTGCCCAGGATTCGAACCTAGAACCTTTCTGATGCAAGGGCAGTTCCCTGACCCCTACACAGTAGGCAAAGGTTTAAAAATTACATTTTTTGGAGAAAAATGATTTCTTAAAGAAAGATCTTATACAGCACTTGAATAAATAATCCCAAGAAACTAAAGAGGTAAGATATTACTTTATTAAAAACATCATTCGCTTCAAGAATATACAAATTGGAAATAAGTCAACATGTTTCAAGTGCTTAAAAATAGACACCCATTTTCAAGACTTCCCAGATATGAATGAGAAGAAACAAAAGTAACCTGAATCATAAAACATAAAGTTGGCAACGAAAAATGGAGAAATAGTTTTATTTTTGTCCTTTTCTTTAATACTTTATTTTTCCATTTTTCATAGCAAACTTTACGTTTTATATTTAGAATAACTTTTTTTTCCCTTCTCATTCATGACTGGGAAGCCTTGAATAACGGGTGCCTATTTTTGAGGGCTTGAAACATGTCTACTGTTATTTCCATTTTGTATATTTCTGAAGCGAATGAAGTTTTTAATCAAGTAAACACTTTCTTAGCTATACAGCATTTAATCAAGATTGTAAATTTATGATTTAAGAGGATAAAAACACTTAGTGACAATTTTTGTCTGTTTTTCGGACTGGAAGAAAGTTTCAAGACAGGAATGGCTACAAACGTTCATAAAAAAGAATGACTTTTACCACACTGATTTAATCACATTTTCCTGATTTTAAAACTTAAGGCATAAATTTCATTATTTATTTCTGAATTATGACTTATTCTCATACCTAAAATATCTACACTCATACACTTAAATTTGCTGTTAGAGTTAAACATTGTTACAAAATCAAATTTGCCTGAACTTAACTCAATTTATTTAATTTTTCCTGAGTTTTGGGATATTTTAATTAAATTACCTAATTTTTTCCCCTGTGCTTTCGGTAACTAACGGTAAGTTAGAAAATACTCTTTTGGCAGCCACTTAAAATATCAAGAAAAAGAATGCTTTTAAACTGAGCGGTTTAAATTTGCATTGGAGGTTTACATGTTTTAACAATTGGTAGGGTTAAAAAAAAAAAGAAATAAGTTCAAACCATAATCTTTACTTTAAAGCTCATTTACTCAAACCTTCAGCCACAGACCAGCCAGCCATAGACAGAAAAATTTTAAAAGACAACGTTATATTTTCAAAAAGCTTTATTTCAGAAAATTTTGATTGACCACTAACCATCATAATTCTTAAAGATTCAAAATAGAATGCATTAATATAAATATATTTTATATAACCCACATTATGGAACTAAAATTACATTTTGATTAAAATCAGTTCATAATTAGTCACCATATTATTACTAAACAATCATTAAGATTAAACATAATACATATAGAACCAGGTCCTTGCTTGGATGTTTTAAACTGGGTAATCACTCAAGATTGACAGAAAACAATTTATTCAAATTTTAGAAATTTATATTAATGCAACATAAATTGCATATTATTTACATAAATATAGTAAAGTTATAAATCTGTAATTTGATTTATAACTTCTTTAACGTTTTAATTAAAACGCCCTGTTATCCATAAATTTATACTATTTTAATGTAATTGGTGTCTTAAGAGTAATCGTAGATCGAGCATTCACTTAGTTACATGTATGTATTTCAACAGGGCTGCTAATCAATTTCAGAAAAAAAATTCCCTGACAGGAATATCAGGTAAATTTCAATGAAACTCCAGACCATATTTAATCTAAACCATACAAATTTTTCATCTGAAAAATTAGATTTTTTTGTTTGTAACGTCAAATATTAGATTTGGTGAGCAAAAAAATATCATTGGATGAGGATGGAAAAATGTCAGTTTGACTAAAATTTGAAATTTTTACAACTAATTATAATAGATGTTAGAATTATTTAACTCTAATCTCAATTACTGTTACTGACAATTCTAAGATATAGGAATTTTCTAGGTTTTTGTAAAAAAGAAAAAAAACCTGTTTTTTAGAGTTAAAATAAAATTTCCTAACAATTCCAGGTTCTCCCTGTCCTGGGAGAGCACTACTTAAATCGAAACAAAACTTTTCATTTTTATGATGCAGCACTAATTTGGCATTTTAAGACTGAAATTTAATTTTCAAATAAGTAATGATTTTTGTAAAAGCTTTCAACACAAACTAGTCTCACATTTTCTTCAAAACAGTCCAATTATTACATTATGAAAAACAAACACCAGATCTTTTAATAATGTAATGATTAGTATAAAAAGAAAATATTATTTAAGTATAAGCATGCAGAAGTATAAAAAAAACAATATCAATTATAAAAGAAACATCTTGAGTGAAACAAATAATGAAACATTGTACACCACACTAAGGTTAGTAATATAACTCACAAAATTATTATAAATCATAACATGTTTTGAAAAGACGGTTTTAAAATAAAACTAACAATTTCACAGGCAAAGTTTATCACACACATGGTAAATGCTATTTACCGGGATAGCAACAATACATTTGTGGTTAATTTTTAACATTTGTTCATCAATACGGTAAAAAAGTTTTAAATTTAACATGCAAAACATAACTTGTAAGCCTATGTTTAACTTAAAGAGACAATAACAAAAACTAAAATTAGAAGATGGAAGACAAGGGTTTTAATTTCTTGAAAGATCGTGGCAATATGCTGGATGATTAAAAAACATGTCATTAAATTAATACATTTATAATTCATTCAGCATTTTAAACAAATGGGTAAAACTAATTTATCATACTTCCACTTTGAACTAAATTTCAGACTAACTCATATCTAAGTATAAAATCATTTAAAGTTAAGCATAGAAATCGCATATACCATTGTATGCAAAAGTAGTATAAGTAAATTAGGTATGATGGTAGAAATTGCACGATTACATCATTTTTGAACAAGTTTTGAAAACCAAAACATGTACAAAATTAACGACTTAATTAGTTTAAGATTTCATAAAAATTAATAAATAGCTATTATCTCAGAATAAGATTATACAAAAATAGCCAATGACTAAATTTAAGATAAAGATATAAATAAATTACATCTTAATTTTTATAAAGAGTTATTAAGGCCAAGATTTCATATACTTAGGAATAAATGATAAATTACGAGTCCTCAAAATAAATATAATTAAGTGCTGATACATATGTGTTTTGCGTTATTACAAACTACACTTAAAGATTATATTTTGAAAAGTTTCTCCCTGGTGCATAAATTCAACAAATTTACTAAAACTGAAAACAAAATATATAACTAAGTGCTTTCAATATAAATCCATACTCCAATTAATACTAGACATTTTTTTCTTAGTCATAAAACAGTGCTTAACATAAATTATACATAAAAAAGTGCCATAAAAATAGTTCAAATTGATTATTCAAGGAAAATATGAATAAAATATATATATTTGACAATAAAACACATCTCTCCAATGTTATTCTCTCTCATGTTACAATTCACTAAGATAAATTTACCTTAGAATATACAATTATAAGAATCAAAGATATGAGTAAACAGAAAATTACAATTATTAAAATGAGAGAAAAAACAAAAGTTCTAATATAACAACCATTTAAATATATCTCTTTTTGAGCAAAGATCAAAATTGAACAAAATGAAGATTTTTAAAGCATTATAAATTTTTCAAAGAAGATTCTTTCATTCATAAAATCTCTCATTTTAACTTCAGAAGTCCTAAGCAAGCTTATATGCTCTGTGAGAGGTCTACCTCTCAGAAAACAAAGAAATTTTCAATTTGATGAAATTAATTTTTGCTTAAACATGTTTTAAGCAATTTCACGTGTTCTGCGAGGGGCCTAACTAAAATACCATGATGTGCATGATTTGACTACATGGAAAGTGAATGACTCAAGGCTAAACTGTTTATTCCCAACTAAGCAATAATCGCTTCACAAACTGCTTTTTATCAGTGTGGAATGAACGGAATGTTTAGCATGAGTTGAAAACAGAACATGCGACAAGAAACAAGTTAAAAAATTGCATGAATAATTGGAACATACAAATAATATTAAAAAAACAAGGAAATTTAATATTAAATCCAACTAAAAATTAAAGAATGAGGAACATTTTAATAAAAAATCAAATATGTCAAGAAAATAAGGATAAACATTAAAGCAATGCGGATGCCAACTAAAATATTCATAAATCTATTGTTCTGCAACAATAAGGATCATATGCTATAATACTCAGTGCTGTTTTTGTAGTTCAAAATAAATTTTATTGTCATCCACAAAATGCATTTTTTTTAATAAAAAGAATAAACATATTTAATTCTATATATTATCAAAATAAAATTTTAAAGCGTATTGAAAAAGTTAGGAAATAGCATTTGCAGTTTTCAAACGCTTTACGCAATTTAGAGGCTAAATCAAATCCATTGAAAGTTCAGAAAATACATTGTTGGCAAACCTGGATTGAAAATAAAAATATTCTAGAAAGTTAAAAACCAAAAATCCTCAGAAACTACTTAAATTCTTTTTCATTGAGCAAAACAGAATGAAAAAGCTACAATTGTGTATAAATGGCACTAAATTGCAGAAGGAAAGAAAGTTTCAATAAATAATATATGAATGAACTATTAAAGTAAACAGAAACAACAATGTAAAAACTACAAATAAAAGACAAATTTAAAACAAATAAGTACCAATTCCATACTAGCACAGATTTCTGGAACATGAAAAATTATATAGTAAAATCAGAAATGTTTTTAACACAAAAATAAAATTAACAGTTGACTTAAACTGTAAGGGGGGAAATAAATAAATGATTTTATTATATTCTAACTGTGAAGGGGGGGAAATCAATAGTAATTATTTGTCTGTATAAGAATGATAATGTAAAAGAAAACTAAAAAAACTTAAGTCCTTATTGCTAAAAATGGGCATTTCACTTATTTAATACATACATATATTAACACTATTTAAATTAGTTCTACACACACATAATCATATAGGCATTTTGTACCAATTCATACATACCTACACAGGCACAAAAAAAGTAAGAAAAAGTAAGAAAAAATTAACATTGATTATTCTCTATAAAATAAAGAATATTTCATAAAATTATCTGTTTTAGTAAAAAGCATGACATTTAATTAATTCATTAAAAAGGAATGGAAACAAAATTCTAGAATTAAAGGATTTAAGAAGAAAAAAATACCATTAAGCTTTATGTTATATAAAAATTCATGATTATACACTTTATAATTAATGTCATGTGTATAAACTAAAATTGAACTTTTTCTTTGTGAATTTTTTTTATTTTATATAGCTGCATTTATAAATAACTTATTAAATGAGTTGCTTTACATAATAATAAATTGCTGGAAAGTACCATACAAAATAAAATTGGGTAAAATGAGAAAATCTGCACTGAATTTAAGATAGGACAAAATTTAATACAATTGATGACAAAGTTAATATTTTTATGAATGATAGCACACGTTAAACAGTTCAATTTACTTTAACTTTCAATGTTTTAGCTCATGATCATCAGCAAAAATAGCTTAATCTATAGAATCAGTTCAAAAATATAAATATAGCATGTCAATTACAGATTAAATATACAATATGTAGCTTACAATTTGTAATTAAGTGCTTTCTAATTATTCAGATTATAATTTACAATATTTTTAAGTCCTGTAGAATAAAAGAAAATGCTCCAAAATAATTATTTTGAAAGTAGATAAATTTCAGAAAATAGCAGCTGAGAAATATAACTTATCTTTTTCTTTACACTCCAATAAAACTAGTAATTTTGAAATGGAGGGGGGGAGGATGTTGTTATAGAGTTGATTCTAGATGAAGTCGTTCAGTTTCAGGCTTTAATTTGAATAAATCCTCTTGAATCGCATCCGTAATTATTTTTCGTTTTTCTCGCTAGAAACAATGCAGTGCAAGAATAATTATTGAAAAGAATTTAGGTTTAAATATAAATCTTGAAAAACAGCAGGTAAATTTATTCAATAAAAAAGATAAAATAATAACAATGATAAATAAATACGTTTAAATTTTGTGTTTTTTTTCTTTTTTAACTCTAGATAGCTAAACATTCATCGAATAAAAGATTGATTTTTTCAATTTTGCGAAGTTACATCAACAACTTCAAACATTACTAACTTTAAAATTCATGAATAAAAATTTTTCAGTTTTTTCCTTTAGTTATGTTTATTTGTTAAAAATAAATAATGGAAATATAAAAGTATCCAGATATATAATTCATGGCTCATTAGTATAATTACAGAATAACACTAATTTAAATTTAGTTATCAAAGATGAAAATATTTAGCATTCAGATGGGAAAGTAACAATTAATAAGTAAAATATAAAATTGAATTTGGAATCATTAAATGGAAGATTAGAGAAAAAATAATACATAAAAAGTGAAACGTTTTTTGCCCTCATACGAACTTATGTATCTAACATAATTGAATGGGTCATTAAAGAAACAATAAAATTACCTAACAAAACTAATTGTTCAAGAACATTAAGAAAAAAAGAATTTTCAATTACAATAAAAAATTTTAAAAATATTCAGTTTTTAACTGCCCCATTCAATTTTTTTTAAAAAAAAAAATTCATAGGGAAAAGAAATTTATACCATTTATTCCAATTTATTTTTTCCGAGACAGTTTTTGAGGGAAAAACTTTTCAATTCTGAATTACTAAATATTTTTAAATACGATTTTACTAAGTAATAATTTAATTTATTAATTAAGGAAATTTCAAAGTACATTAAATCATTTAATTAAAATAAAAATTAAATAATTTTCTGTAGATTTTTTGAACTGAAATATTTTTTTTTAAATTTATTAACAAAACAAACTTAAATTCTAAACAATTTGCACCTTATCACATTTACCACGCTTGATTTCATATAATTTTAAGTGTTTTCCGCCGACACATGAAGATCATGTTTTACTATGAACTGCAAAATAAAACTTAACATATAAAATTATTCAAAGATTACTATGCTTTAAAGAAAAATTATGATTTAAACTAAACAAAAACATATAAAACTATCATGTATAAAACTTCAAAGAAAAGAAAAAAGTTAATTTTGAAACTTAAATTATTTCAGCTAAAATGAGAGCACAAAACTAAAATAAAAGATTTAGACTACAATCATGCAATTGTTCATCTATTGTAATCACTTGCAATTAAATAAGCAATTATGTGATGTATCAAAAAAAAGTTAAAAGAAAATAAGTATAAAAAGAAGCAGCTATTAGCATGTGTTTTATTATAATGGAAAACTGGCTGAACACTAAAAAGCGAAATTTTAAAAGATAAATTGAATGCACAGATTTTATGACACAAGACCTGGATTGGAGAACGCTGCACCAAACACAAAATAAAAAGAATATACAGTAATAGGCATTTAAGATGCAATCCAACTGTGTCTGAATGAGAAAAATAATGAAGTAAGAAATATAAAAAAGGGGGAGAAGAAAGGTTATAAGGTCAACCTTAAGGGAACCTGGGCGAGTATCAAAGTGACCTATCAAAAGTTTTCAGTTTTAGAGGACTTGGAAAAATTTGTCTGACATTCAGCAAATTTAGACAATTTCATTTTTTTTCTCTAGATTTGATTTTTTAAATACCGAGTAAAAAGATAATAAGCTTTGAAATCTCACACACTTGTTTTGATTTTGTAAAATCACTGCAAGAAAGGAAACAATTACTTTAAATAACGAGGTATTAACGAAAAGTTTTGAAATTAAAACTTTAACCGGGTTTTATCATTTATGAACTTTAAATCATTAATTGATTAATGATTAAGTCATAAATTGGCAATATATAGGAAGTTGAAAGAATAATTGACAAATGAAGGTATAATAAATTCAAAATAAATACAAAAAAAATGCATTTTTATTTATTTCATTAAAATTTAAATTAAAACTATTATTGGGATTTGATTAAGATAATATTTGGCCTTAACTATAACAAATTAGTCTAAGTTTTGCTTTATTCAGAAATAGTGAAACTTTTTATGAAATTCAATTCCAATAAAGCTTTTTTTAGAAAAATTGTAAAGAAAAAGCTTTTTGAAACTTTTAATATTTTACAAATCTAATTATATTAAAATACGATTAAGTCTCTATGTCAGCAAAAACATGCTAAATAAAAGTATTAATTTTTAACAATAGCAAGAACAATCCAACTTATGCCCTTTAAAAATCGAAAAAATTAATTAGAATTTTCAGTTTTCAATAAATATATTTTAACTAACCAAAGACCCCAGAAATTTTTATGGTTAATTAATAAGAATTAATTAGAAAATCAAACACTTGTTGTTTAAGTATAAGATAGTAAATAAAATTAGGAAGTTGGGTGGGTGAAGGTTAGAAGGTAATAACAGGACCAAATATTTATTTTTACTTTCTGAGATTTACACTCAAAATACATAATACATTTTTAATGGTTCTAAAAGAAGATTGTAAAATATTACACTTGAAAATGTCGCATACATTTTTAGAAAATTACAAACTCAACTTTACCCCTATAAACTTCAGAGGTTTTTAGGATCCTTAAAAACCCTTTCAGTCTAAGCCTGACTACTATTGAGGTCTTTGTATGTTTGCATTTTAAATTAGAGGTAATAATTTATAAAACTATTATTTCAATTGGGAAAAAAAAGTGTGAATAGCTTAAACCCCTTTATGAAAGTTGAGATTTTTTCTTATATATTAATGGGAATAAATGCAAAATCACAAAATGTTTTACAACTGAAATTTTAAAGTTGAGAAAAAAAAATTAATAACTATTTATCACTTTATTAATAATTGAAACATTTTGTAGTATAGGATATAAGCATCTTTACATTTTACATTACTTAAATGCAAATAAGAAACATTTAAAAAAAATGCTGAATGACAAATAAAAAATTAAAACATAAAAAAGATTATTTAGTTTAAATAAAATGTTTTTTTGACACTAATTTTTCAAGAACTATTTGACCAATTCATTTCATACTTTTAACTTCGGCAAATAAAATTACCATTATGCAAATAAGCATAATCATTAAAACACACTCTTTTGAATTTAGGCAATTATTTTCAGGTATGTTGTACAAGAGGAAAAAGAGAAAAACTAACTTTAAAGGGCCAAACATTTTGACAGCTCTACTTAAAAAAGTATTAGATCGCTGTACCCTTCATGCTTAGTGATGTAGAATGTCAAGATGAAGGGCGTCGTTCATACCAGAATGCATGTTTTTTTCTTCTTCTTAAGTCAATGTTCATTTCTTTTTAGTGTGATTCCAAAACTTAATTAATAGTGAATAACTAATGACTAATTTAATTACATAGTATTCAAAATGGAGTTTTTGCTTAATGAATGTAATGTGCACGAAAAGTGTGGGCATATATTATTCTTAGTTGTATACTCCTTGTAATTAAAATTGGCTTCTCAAGATCATATTTTCTACCTTTGTCGCTTTGGTTATAATGTCACAGGTAGCAACACTAATCTTTTTACTGACACCACAATTAGGGGGTATCTATAACTCATAACTGTATACTACTAACTCTACAAAGGCCCAAAAAGTTTGACAGCTCTACTTCAAAAAATATTAGATCACTGTGCCCTTCATACTTAGTAATATGGGGTGTCAAGAATTTGAATTCATAACAGAATGCATGTTTTTTTTTTCTTCAGTGAATGTTCGTTTCTTTTTAGTGTGATTCCAAAACTTAATTAATAGTTATTAACTAATCACTAATTTATCAATCACTAATTTAATTGCATAATCAAAATGGGGTTTTGCTCACAAGAAGTATAGGCATATATTATTCCTAGTTGTATACTCCTTGCAATTAAAATTAGCTTCTCAAGGTCATATTTTCTACCTTCATTGCTTTGGTTATAATATCACAGGTAGCAACACTGCTATTTTTTACTCACACTGCAATTAAGAGGTATCTATAACTCATTACTGTATTTTATTTTGATATTAATTTATAATAATAACGTACTGGCGAGGGAAAAAGCGACATATGTGGATACCATGGTAATGCAGAAGGGAAAAAGTGGGGAAATCATGTAACTTGGAAACGCATATTTTATTTACAGACTATAGAAATAGGATAAATAAAAAAATCTATTCTTGAACTCTTGCCAAAAGAAAAGTTCGTCACTTAATTGTGCACAAAATATAAATAAATTTAAGTTATTGAAATTAACTTGAGGTAAATATATATAAAATAATAATAATAATCTATGGGTTAGAATGCTACCTAAGCAATTTGCATGCAGAAACAACTAAAACAGAAAACTATTAAATAAAGTATAAATAAACATAATTAATGCTTCTAATTATTAGTGCACTATTTCACATACACCAACACAAATACAATAAATATACGAGCATGCATGATTCAAAATTGATTAATAAGATTAGAAAAGATGTATAACAACACATGCTAGAAACAGAATGATGCAACTTTTTTTTTTTGACAGAGATTAATGATGTTAGTAGCTTTATTTATAGAAGAGAAAACATGCCTTGTAATATTCTGCAAGAATTTTTCCATCACCAACTTCCAGAGCTGGCTTTAAGAAATAAACATCAAACTCAAGCAATTGAAAAAGGATAAATCAACTAAAAACACTTCAGACACAACAAACAATAAAATATTAATAACAGTAGAATGAAATACTTTTAAGAACAACAAAAATACAGATAACATACATCAACTAACTCAAAGTAAAAATAATAATCTAAAATGTGTTATTTGATTATAATTAAAAATTGACTTCATTGGAAATAAGGGTGTAAAAAAATTCTCAGAATTGTCACTTTACGAAATGTGATATATTAAACAGTGTGAATTACAAAATTATTTTAACCCCCTGATGTTTTTAGAGATAGGCAAATTTATGGGAATATTTATTCACTACACATCAAATTTATGAGAAGGTAATAATGTATCAAATTTATGAGATTATTTTTAATCAACACATCAAATTGATGGGAATATTTTAGCCACACATCAAATTTATAAGAATATATTTTGCTATACAATAAAATTAGAATGTTTCTCGTTTTACATTTTTCCCTGCTTAATAATTTTTTTTTTATTTTTTTTAATGAGAATCGTTTGAAGAACAAGTGGGGTTTTTTTCCTAGGAGAAAACATGCAGGCCAAAAAAAAATTTTTTTTCATGCAGGGCTGATAGAGGGTTAAAATAAATGTTTAATTTAAAAACTTTAAAATAGAATAAAATTATTAGACAATTAGTTACATACATTTATTTAATTATGATGATAATCCAAATTTTTTAATGATTACATTACCAAACAAATACCTTTTAGAAAATATAAGAACTTTTCTTAAAAATCAAATAATCTGAGCTATTAAAAATTATCAAGACTGTTATTTTGAATTAAATTTTGTTCCTTTAATCAACTCTTATCAATTTTAAAATGAAAATAAAATAAAATGCAAAGAATTTCAAAAAATTTGGGTATATTCAGTTTAAAAAACTTACTTTTCTCAAATAAGATAAAGACTCTTAAGCAAAATATGATAAATACAATTCAATTGAGAATGATGTATGAATATCAAATGATGGTAAAATTTGCAAATTGCTATGTAAATGAAAGTATGACAGAAAAAAAATGGAAAGTTAACACACATAAATTTTTTTGCAGTCAGCTTACGATTATTGCTATAACATGAGTAAATAGGAAGCCTTAAAAATTTTAGTAAGACATAAATAGATTAACTTATTTGTTTTGCCATTATATATATATATATATATATATATATATTGAATCACTGCTATGATAGAATTTCCGAAGTATTCAAAAATGAAGAAATATTATAAATAATATAACTTATTCTCCTTTATAAAACTGTTCAGATTATTTTTTTTGCAAAAATGTCAACGAAAAATAAGACATTATCTGAAAACAGTTATTGAATAAGTATTCTAAAATATTGTTAGTGAAAATTCTAATTTCATTAATTTCTAATTTCACAATAAAAATACTAATCTTTAAAAACAAGGAAAGTAATAGACACAATTTATTTTAACTTTTCTGAAACTTAGACACATAAAAAAATTTTTTTAGTAATTTTGTACATTTAAACTTTTAAAACAGGTAAATGCAAATTTAATTTGACTAACATTATAGAAATTAAATTCGTAATTTAAAAATATAAATTAAGTCTGGTCAGCTCCAAAGTCAGGAATCAGTTAGAAATTAAAAAGCAATTTAATTAGCTATCCAATTTTGATTTAAATGTTTATCAATTAGACACATACAAAAAAAATAATAATAATTGTAGAATAGTAGCATATTTTCACTGACTAAAATTTAATTGAAATAACCTATATTGGAGAGATTAATTCAAAAACATTCAAGTGTATGTTGTGAATATTTTCTTACTTTTAAGAAATATACCGACAAAATCAAAACAACTTAACGTCTTATAAATAAATATTATACATGTAAAAAAATTATAAATTTAAGAACAATACACAAGCAGCAAAACTACGAGGAATTTCCCCAATGGATATTTTTGAGAAATATTTCAGAAAAGAGAAGAGCAAAAATATGCCACTTCTCCGCGATTCTACCACAAGGGTTTTTACAAAGCAAATAATACCAAGATCTAGTATCTGAAGCACAATTAGCAAAGAAAGAGTAGAGTGTGACATTTTTTGACAATAAATTAGAGAATGCAAGAATCAAAGATAAATAAATGGTATACTACTTGATTTTAATGGCAACTGCGATAAAACCCCAAATTAAATAATAAAAAAAACAGCAATAAGTAGCTAAACTAAGAGTAATCATACACACTTTCACTTTGGGTTCCATTTGATGTTTGCATTCAACCTGCGTGATATAGTGATTAATTTTTTTCCAATGCAAACATTGAAAAGAAAGTGTGGACAATTTTTAATGTACCAAAGAGTGAGGTATAAGTAGTTTCATTTTTCAAGAAAAAAAAGGTACTACCTCGACACTGAATATGCGTAACTGGACACGAAATGAAACTCTATGTATAGGAAAGTTTGAGGAGGTGCAATGTAAATAGTTGTCAACAAAAAAAAGAGCCTTTTTTATGTTATGAACAAAGACAAAAAGGCACGACTCCTTCTAGAGTCTTATCTTACGGAATTCATGAGGCGAAAATCCTATGGGAAAGACAAGCCTTTTGATTTAATATTGAAAGCAATTGTAGAGATATGGAAGCCACAAATAACTCTGGCTTGGCATTAGTCTTGTCATCGTTTTAATAGCAGGCGCCGTGGAATTCCAGTAGTACGAAATAAATAATAGAATTGTTCTCTTTTGTAACTTCAATAACTTATCTAATGATAACAAAAAGTCTGAAAATGAATTTGTAATAGATTGATTTAATTATAAAGCAGTTTTTTTTTCTTTTCGGCAGTTGAAATAACTCCTAAATTTGGGGGATATAATTTGTTTTATTGGGGTTTTTATTGATCAGGGACTATGAGCAAATCGTTAACAAGAGGTACTTTAAATTGGGTTCCAACTGTAATTTGAAGATAATCATAAGCAATTTTGTGGAGAATTAAAGGAAAAAATTTTAATACTTACAGCACTTCTATGATCATGGTTTAATTTTTCTCTCATAGGATTCAGGTCCATTGGATTTCCAATTAGAATAGTCACTTTCTGTCAAGAAAAAAAATAACAACAATTATTATTTTGTTTCATTAAAAAAATAGGTATTTTAGGACTTTAAAAAAATTCAGCTTAAATAGGTTAAAAAGTTTAAACCTTTAAGAAGAGTTACTTTTAATGGCTGCCCAGGGTAATTGATAGATTGAATACTAGCCTTTTGGTGAAATTGCAATATCTTAACAAAATAGCAGAATAAAGTAAGTTACATCATATATTTGTGTTTCCTGTTGCTCAGGGAACTATGTCTATTGACCGACACACAATATGCTAAGCACATAAAATTATTTACAATAAAAAGAATAGTTTATGTGCCTGAGTTTATCCCTTTTAGCACCAAAACTGTTTGTACTAAGATCCAACAGTTTGTACAATGTGTGCAAGACATAATTCTAATTTCCAATCCTAAAATACTGTTAAAAGCTTTTTTGTTTATTTGATCACAATAGAAGAGTGAATAGCCAATGCATTCTGCAACCAATCATAATGCTTTATTACATTTTAAACTGCAGGCAGAGGCTGTATCTTTTCAATTATTTAAAATATAACATTATTCACCTTTGCTTTGAATCAAAAGCAAGTTTTACTTATGAGTTAATTGCGCATTCCCTAATAATTATACATTTTTGATTCAGTATCTTGTATAAGCAAAATCAACCTAGATGGTAAGTAGATGCAATGTTACCTATTAAGTATTTTTGAAGAGTCATCGGAAACTATATGTTTATTTAGCTTAGACTTATGCTTCTGGGATTTGTTATCATAAGCTTAATTGCAGCTGTTGGCTGTAATCAACAGCATCATTTTTGTTGTGAATTAGTTGAGTCACTTTTTTAAATTAGCTTAAGCATATATATATATTTTATGAGTTTCTAAAAACATGTTACATCTGATCTAATAATGTTAAGTCATCAGAAGAAACAACAAATTAAAAAAAAATGCTTTAATTTTTTTTATTTTAAGGGATTTGCCTTTCAGTTTCAAAATTATAAGCAATTATAATTTTATAAACATTAAATTATAAGCACTAAAAATTATAAATAAGTAAAATAAGAAGTTTAAAAATTTTATACAATTAATAGACCCTATCTCAAATAAAAAATTTGATGATCGAAAATTTCAATAAATTCCTTTTTTTTAAATTCAATTTAATGAATAGAAGGAAGATGGAAGTTTTAAGGTGATGAAGCTTTGTGATTGTTGACTGCTCTGGGTCCACTTGAAATACGCAATTAATGATTGATTCCCATGTCAAGTTCTAAGATTCTGGTACTGAACTATATATAAAAAAGCACAAGAAGGCCATTGGCTTGCCAGTGACGAAGACGATGCTTCACCAGCAATGAAATTAACAAAATAAAATTTAATTTTGTTATTAAGGTAAAAATTTCGGCAATGTTTAGTTGGTCCCTATAATCAGAAAATATACGAGAAATTTTTTAATTGGATTTCAAAGTGCAGAAAATGAAGCCTGGAATAAAGAATCTCTTGCACATGAGAGTGAAAAAATCCTTCCAATGGAATCCGTCATAGTGTAAGCGCATGTGGATCTGCAAGTATTTCATCCAACATGTAAAATGATTAGTGCTCTCATAACGTATGCCAAAACAGATTGTGGTTGAATAAATTGGGAAAATGTTGAAAGGAACAATATGAAAACCACTCTTTTTGTATGATTGGAGGCGAAAATCAACATGGTAAAGAAAAAAAAATCTCATTTTGGAAAAGGGGAAATTAAGCACTTTGTAAAAACTTTCAATGAAAAAAGCACCTAAAAGGGATTTTAAAAAATGCAAAAACGAAAATAAGCATCTTTAAGTACTTTTTCAAAACTGCAACCCAGATGAATTTTTATGCTTAAATTATAAACTTTACGGTAATAAATATATTACATGAATTAATAGATCTGAGAATGAATTTAAAAACTGGCTGAAAGGAAAAATATGCAACACTTATTCATTAAATGCTTTTTAATAATAGAACACTAGTTTTCTTTTTAAATGAAATAATTGAAATTAGAATTTCTGACTAAATGGTAAAAAAGAATTACAATATATTTTGATCAAGAGATTCAATACTATCAACTCTATTTGTGCGAAATCTTCAAAAATACAGACCAACAGAGCAGTGGTTGATCTAATTTTCAAAAAAATTGCCAATATAGAAAAGATAGTTTATATTTTCTTGTGTTAATATGCACACTACAATTTTTTACTTTTTAAGAAGTAATAGTAAATACCTTTCCAAACTTTGGTCGATAAGGTTCCACATTAGGTAGAACACTATCCATGCCTGAAAAATCAATGCAGCTTTAATATTAAAGGAAGTAAAATAATAAAAAAACACAGGCATAACTAAAAAAATATTTACCTAAATGCCAAAATGGAATAACAATGGGACATATTTTACATTCAGAAATCAAACGTCCTATTCCTAAAACAATAGAATAAAAAAAGTCAAACATACAAGATATCATATCTTAAATATCTTTGAAAATGCAATGAAGTGCCAACTTAAATTCCTGAAGAATAAAATTAAATAGGATATGCTCAACATTATTGATTTTCAGTGCTATAGTGCAAAATTTTTCAGCGGTGGATCGGTCAAAAATTCTAACATTTTATGTGCAGTTTTTTATAGAAAAAATAATAACAATGCGAAAACTATATAAGGTACTTATGTATTATCCAAGTGATCATTTTTGTCAAATCTTAAAATAAATTTAAAAGTAGTTCAAATTTAAATATTTTTCCATTTATTGCACGCATTAAGTTATCTTTGCATTTTTTCTGTTTCTTAATAATCAATTTCTATGAAAAAATAAACTTGGAAGATACCAAAACGGCTTAGTGTTGGTGAAAAAAGTTGATGGGATATGCAAGTACTACGTTTAGTTCTTTATAGCCAATATAAAGTGAGGTTTTTCTTAGATGAATTTGTGACAAGTTACATAAGTTTGCCTGTCACAGCAGTGAGAAATGATATTGCGTACAGACCTTTTATCTTTTTAAACAATTAAAAAAAAATTTAAGTTAAAAAAAAACATTTGCAATAATTAGAAAATTTTCAGCAATTAAAAAACTTCAGAATAATTTCAAAAAATTCAGATTTTATCAACAAAAAAAAAATTATTATCTGCATATCCTCATACTGCATCATCTGCATACCAGCATACTTCTCCCCTGATAATTTTATAACAGATCAAAAAGACTATTTATAAATAATGAGATGGTAATAATTATTTATAATAATGTGTGTTTTATTATTAATGTATGTGTGTTAATTTATTAACACTTACAGCTATAATTTAGTTCAAAACTTTCTAAAATTTTAATGATAAGACATTTCATGCAAGAGACTGATAGTTATAATGTCCCCCCCCCCAAATTTAAATTGGCATACATTCATAAACATTCTATTCTACTGTGACACTTTATGAAACCATTTAAGGATTATCTGTGAGTTTCTTTTATTGCACAAGAGGGGCTCTGCTTTATTCTTGCTTACATTCGCCAACTCCTGAAAATGCAGCAGATTGCAATGAGCATGCTTTGTTCCCTCATTTCATCTAAGTATTATTTTACACTGTGTTTTAAATTAAATACATAAGAAGGTACTGTGTCAAGCTTACCTAGATTGATTTGTGAAGAATCAAATTACATTACAATTCTTTCATAGACGTGTTATTGCTATAGATTTGAAAGTTATAAATGATTATGGGTAGTAATAATTAACTGCAGAATTTTCATAAACTTATTGCTGCGACAGATTTGAAAATTATGAATGATTTTGGATAGCAATAAATACAGAATTTTCATAAACTTGTTACTGGAACAGACTTGAAAGTTATAAGTGATTATGGGTAGTAATAATTAACTGCAGAATTTTCATAAACTTATTGCAGCGAGAGATTTGAAAATTATGAACGATTTTGGATAGCAATAAATACAGAATTTTCATAAACTTGTTACTGGAACAGATTTGTAAGTTATAAATGATTATGGCTAGTAATAAATAACTGCAAAATTTCCATTACTTTTTATCATTTTTATTTTGGACTTATAAGTTTACTATCCATTCTAAAATACTTACCCCATTTTAAGCGAATGAATTCATTTTTTGCCATATTAACCTTCCCTTCTGGAAAAAAGTGAACCCAAGCACCAGCATTTAATTGTTCTAAACAAAAATCCATTCCCTTTTGATAGACTCCAGCTCCTCGAATAACGGGAAAAGTTTTTCCCAAAGCGAAAAACCGTGAATGCCAATCGTTTGTGAAACAGATGTCATGAGCAGCTGCAGTCCATCTCATAATTCTATGATTCAGGATGTGTCTCCAATCTAACATACCTATATATTAAAAAGGATGAAATTGTGAAGAGAAAAAAAAAAGAGTTTAATACAAGCATACATGTATAATATACACAAATGTTACAATGTCGTTCGAAGAAATTTTGTCACCATTGCAGAAAATTTCTTAGTAAAACTCATCACTGGAAAAAAAAATTAAGAAACTAAGGTGTTTATTAGATTATTTAAGCATAGACAACACTTAAATAATGTTTAACAATATTATTTAAATGCAGAATAATTGAAAAGTGACATTTATAAATGTATTTACTAAATGTTTGCATTGAAATGTTTTTAAGTCAACATTTATATATGCAAAAAATACAAAAAAAAACAAGCATAAAGAAAAACAAAGTAAATTAATGATTCAGTTCATATTTATGTATTCATAAACTATACATGTATAATAATCTATATAGATATACATGTATAATAATCTATATATAATAATCTATATATCCATAATCCACATGGGTTCTTTTTTTTTTTTTAAATAAATAAATAAATAAAACAATTTAAAAAGAGATTTTGAACAAATTTTGTCAAAATTAGATGGTAATGAAAGGATTAAAACTAACTACTAGAGTCAATAAACTATTCATAGAAAGTTTTATTTCGTGTTTGCAGAAAGTTAATATTTTTATCTAAGTCAGAATACAAGGTGGTTAAAATTTAAATTACTGAGCTTAGATCAACAGAGTCTATTTGGGTTGATGGTTGTCGATAAAACTTGATTGTATACTGATAAGGGCAATCCTTAAGAACAAAAAACGCAAATCGAGTACACAAAGCTTTATGTAATTACAACATGAATTCTATTTTTGTCAAACACATGTTTAGAAGCTGCAGTAGATCAAGGGATAGAACACTGTTTATTTAATGTAAAAATCCAGTTATGAATCATAGCAATAACAGGTCGATTCAGATTTTGCCCCCATCTTGAATATATCACCTGGCGGATGTAAAATATTCTTAGTGGTAGTAGGATCATGGGTAAGAATCTATGTAGCACAAATGTGTCTAGTTCTATCAAAAAGTCCTCTACAAAGGCTAGTTTGTCCCAATGCTTGATCCAAGAATTTCCTGGGTCTTTTGGTTTGGGTTTAAAGACAAAATTATTATCCATTAGTTGGGATAGTTATAACAGACCAATACAATATTCATCTTTCTATAAATCTTCTATTAATCACCATCAGTAGTCATCTTTCTTTCTTCTGTATTAGAAAGATGCTGAATTACTTTGCAGTAATGGCTTGTTGCTTTTCCAACCTCTCCAAAATGAATTAACCTTCTTTCTCACAGATGAAAAACACCATCCATTGGTCGAAATTGGGCTCATATAATATCCTAGTTTCATTTACATCTGTCAACAAGAATGAACACTACAAGAATGGTTAGTCAACAAAAACTTCAGAAATTCAAAAAGCCCGAGACTTTTGGTGACCACAAGTCTCGCTTTTAATAATGTTAATTCAGAACAAGCAAAACAATAAAAATTAAATCATTCTTTTACCCTTTAAGATTAGTGACTATAGGCAATACTTTTCTTGCAACTAAGTTTACAATATTTTGTATCAATCTCATCAAAAGAATGAAAAAATTCTGAATCGATTTTACTCTCAGCTATACAATATCTATTTTTCCATACCACTTGTATACCACTTGACTGGAAAAAGGCGATTGTCATCCCAATAAGGAAGATGGACAAAGATGCTGGATCTCCTGAGAGTTATCGTCCCATCTCCTTGACTAGCATCCCGTGTAAAATAATGGAGAAAATGGTATTAAATAGGCTTATTTTTTATCTCGAAACAAACGACTTGCTCCCAAAAGAGCAGTACGGTTTTAGAAAAGGCCATAGTACGATTGACCAAATCTTATATTTTTGCCAGAGTGTAAGAGACGCTCAGAACATGCGGCCCACTAATCATACTGTGGCTGCATTCTTGGATTTAACAAAGGCTTTTGACCGAGTGTGGCGAAATAAACTAATAATCAAGCTTTTTGATGACTTTAGAATTAGAGGTAACGCTCTCCCTTGGATTTCTGATTATTTTAGGGCCAGAACCATCAGAGTTAAATTCAATCAGACCCTCTCAAGAAATTTTAGACTCGGCCAGGGAGTCCCCCAGGGTTCCGTCTTGGGACCTCTGCTCTTCTGCCTATTTTTTGCTGGCATCGAAAAGGTGATATCTAAGAGATGTAATGTTGGTATTTTCGCCGATGATGTCGTCCTCTGGCACTCTGGCGCTGACATTAAGACTATTGAAGACAATATCAACCTCACTCTAAAAGATGTGAGTGACTTTGCTCAAAAACACAAACTGGTTTTTAACTCATCTAAATCTGTTGTTAGTTTTTATACTACCAATAGGCACATATACAATTATAAACCTACTATTTGTTTTAACGGTCAAAATTTGCCTTATGAAAAGAATGCAAAATATTTGGGTTTTATTATGGACCAGGAGATTCTTGGCAATAAGCACATCGAACTGCTGGAATCGAGGTGTAGAAAGAGGTTAAATATCCTAAAATATATTTCTGGGCAAGACTGGGGAGCAGATGCTACAACTTTGAAATTAACATACACTGCACTTATTAGACCCATACTGGAATATGGGGCACCTATTTATTCCTGTGCTTCAGAGACAAACCTGAATAGATTGGAAAGAGTCCAAATTAGTGCTGCAAAAATTATTACAGGTTTGAGGCGTAGCTGTCCAGATAAAATTGTTCTGTTTGAATCTGACCTCCAACCGTTATACATGAGAAGGAACTCCAGTCTCAAGAAATACTACAATAAGCTCATCAGTTTTGGTGACCAGAACAGAACCTCTTACTATCTCAAAAATTGGAAAAATAACCATAGACTGAAGAGAAACAGTCCCTTCTCTTTGGCTGTTTCAATTCACCTTGTAGACTTGCAATATCCCTGCCGAATTGAACCTCATTCCTTGAGGTCATGTTTTAGCCCTGTTACTGATTTTTCTGGTATCCATTTCCATACGGAGCTGTTGTACCCGGCCCATAAAAGTAAAGACAACCCAGAATTTATGAGACAAATGGCTCTTGAAACTATTAGCCAAATACCATCAGATGCTTTACAACTATACACAGATGGCAGCAAGAGCGACGAAGGTCATTCAGGTAGTGGGGTTTTTATTAAAACACCCACGTACACATTGAGTCTCAAATTTAGAAATTCTGAATTTTGCTCGGTTTTCAGATCTGAGCTTATTGCGATTGAAAATGGCCTAAGACATGTTGAGAATATTGCTGAGCCTGACTTTAAGCATATATGGATACTGACGGATAGCAAATCTTCAATCCAACACCTTAGCAACTGGATGAATGTTGGAGACAGGGCTGCGGCTTCAATTTTGGGGATGCTCTTCAGGCTCTCAGCGGACTTTGGGGTACACTTCCAATGGATTCCATCACACGTTGGAATCAAAGGTAACGAGATGGCGGACTCACTGGCTAAAGATGCTTCTTTGGAACCTCTACAGCCAGATCTACCTTCCACTTTCAACGAGGTCTTTTCAGAGTGCAAAAAAATGTTTATGGACCTCTGGAGGGTTCCTCCTCCGCATAGTTGGTATTTCAGAAAACGACCTGGAAGTGCCTTGCTTTTTGAGGGACCTAGAAGCCAGCAGACTTGTTTATCTCGCTTTGCAAGTGGTCACTTGAGGTGTCTCTCGTATGTTCAGGGGCAAAAGACATTTGGACTTTGCACTAAATGTAGGACTGCTCAGGCTTCGCCCGAGCGTATTCTAAACTGTATCGATTTTAAGATCGACGAGGTTTTCTCAAAACCTCATCTGTTTTTAGACTTCCTGGACATTTTTGGACTTATGGAATTGGTCTAATTGGGATGGACCTCTTGGGGATTAGAAACAACAACAACAACATTTTTCCATGAATATAGTAATCATCTTTTTCAATTCTTTCTTTTCTATTGGCAAAGTGCTGAATAATTTTACAGTAATAGCTTATTGATTTTTCAACCACTTAAAAATGAATTAACCTCCTTTCTCACATATGAAAAGCATTATCTCTTGATCGAAATTTGCCTCACATAATGTCTTAGTTTCACTCAGATCTGTAAACAAGAATGGACACTATGTTGGTTTAAACAGTATAACCCCTCTACATAAAATATGATACAATTTAAGAAAATATGTATGAGAAACTAAACACAAAATTATAAAAATGAATTAGACTTTAAAATGAAGGTCTATATTTATTATATGGCCATATATTTTAACAGTGTGACCCCAAAGTATATTTGTTATTCGTCAAAGTATATTCAATAGGTCAATCACGAATCAGAGAAACATAATTAAATTTTACATAAAATGACATGTAAAGAAATATAAACATTGTTCATCTAAATCAGTGTTCAAATTAATAAAATAATTTAATAAAATAATTATATATTTTTAATGAAACTCAAAATGCCTGAGACTTCTGGTGACCACAAGTCTCGGGCTTTTCATAAAATTAATTAATGCACAATAAGCAAAACAATAAAAATTAAGTCATTCTTTTACACCTAAAAATTAATGACTCAGACTGAGTGATTGTTATAGCATTTTTTTAAAAACTTTAGATCAAATTTTTTTCTGAAACTTTTTTGTTTAATTTCCTAGCTCTCTCCATTTTTTTTTTTTTTTTTTTTTTTTTTTTTTTTTTTTTTTTTTTTTTTTTTTTTGACAAGGGAAAACAAAATTAAATTTTGATTTTAGTTATTGCTTTAAGGAATTCTCAATACCACCAACATTAGCTTGGCCAACAACAACAGGCAATACTTTTCCTGCAATTAAGTTTGAATTATTTTGTATCAATCCCATTAAAAGAATGAAAAAATTTCGAAACTATTTTATTTTCAGCTATTTAAGCATGAATTAAAATACTACCCTTAAAAGAGAAATTTTCCATACACACTCAGCTGTTAGGTTTATCAAACATTTTTATTCCCCTTCATTAAAGAAAAAGTTTCTAGAAAAGAATTAACAATAACTAAACACACTCGTACTACAAAATGGCATAATTGGAGAGAGAATTTTAGGGCTGTATGCTGTGTGTTCGGGTACTCCTATTCATACTGTTACTTAGAAAATTCCTGAAAATATATTTAGTTGGCCTAAGATTGAACAGATAAGCCTGAGAGCTGACAGGTCTACATAACACACAGTAAATCTGAAAAAAAATTAAAAGGGAAAAACAATCGATACTTACCCCATAGCATAGGATCATCAAGACAGGAGTGATGATTAGCTACAGTGATAAGTGGAGTTCCTTTAGGTCTATTATCTAAAGCATCTATCAAAATATCTCTGTTATGTACATTAACTGTATTCAACCACTCTGGAAAATAACATAAAACATTAAGAAGAAAAAATATTAAAAATTTAAATTTTATACAGATTCAACATATTGAATGAGATATCTATTTTAATTACACATCAGCTAACATACACCATATCAAGCCATTATAGATTACCGAAAATGTTCTTCCCATTCAACAAATCTGTTTTGAAGACAACAATTAATATGAGCAAAATTACTGCCTTAGCAAGATTGATATCTCACTTTCCTCACATAAGCCACCTTTATATTTTGAAAACAATGATTATGCAGCTCATCAGAGCACAAAATAAAACATGTGCCATACATTTATACAACTTCCTCCAAGTCGACACTTACAAAAAAATATAATTTAAAATTATTTTAAATTTCAATTAATAAAAGAAGTTTATTATTTGTTTGCAAAATAAAACTGACAAATATATAAAATTTTTCAATAATAATTTTTCATTGACTATCAATCAGGAACCTGAAGTCAAAACATTTTCAATATTCCAACTTCTTTTCGATATTCCAGCTAAACTAAAGCTCCGGCTTCTGAAATTTCATTATATACTCTTGGGTGCTTTTGTGTTTCAGATTTTAATTTGAAATTATTTCATTAATAGGAACATTAGAAAAAAAATAACACAATCATCAATGCAAATATTCATAACATAATCAGCACAAACAGAAAATACGAATTTAATTCATAGTTGAGTTACTTGTTCATTCTTAAAAAAAAAAAGAACTCAATTTAATAAATTCTTCTTCATATTAAATTCATTTTAAATGTATTTTAATGTGAGAATAGTTTTTCTCAAACAACTTGGGTAATAAGCAATGATTTTAAATGTGGCGGGCCTCTTGAATGTCTGTAGGAAGTACAATAGGTACAATAAAATTAATTGCTGGAGCCTTTGAGCATGAGAAAATATAGAGCTGCAGCTCCAGAGTGCTTTATATGCAACAACAAGAATAAGGTAATGCTGCAAGAGGACACGGATTTAGTTGGGCCTTAACTTGAGTTGCACCGATAAATCAATGATTATTATTTTCTTTACATAATACTATTTATAAAATAAAACATTTTTTGCTTAATGAAAAGACTGTGCCTCATGTCATGGGTTGTTTTTTGGATTTTATCCAACAAAATTAAACAATTAATAATCTTCTTGTTGCCTAATTACATTTTATTTAGATTTTAAAAACATTTTTTATTTCATCTAAAACAAACAAATGAAAATTAAGAAATTAAAAAAGAATACTCATTGTTGACAATAATAAAATTTAATACGAGGTCATTAATTCATGTCTCCAATTATGAAATAAAACATTTTGTTGATTGCAAAAAAAAAAAATTAAAAAATGTCATTAACCAAAAAATAAAACAATCGAATGAAACTTAAAAAAAATATGTAATGTGGATTTAAATGATATTATATTCTACCCCTGTGCAAAATATATACAAGTTTTTCTCTAATACATCTCTCCTGTTCTTGGAAAACAACCTGTTTAGCAGGAAAGCTTGTCAAGGTAATTAACAAATTCATGAAAGCTTTAAAAAATTTATAGATAAACAAAAAAATTTAAAAAAACTCAAAACAAAATTTTTAATAAATACATAAAAACTAATTTACTTAATATAAAATCCTTTAGAAAAAAAAATGTTAAAATTACATTATTTATTGAATAATGACCTTAAAATAAAATAAAGGATAAAAACTTCATAAAATAAAAATATTATGTCATTTTGCAAGTAACACTCATGAGAGATGATGCTTGATTTGATGATGGCATAAGAGAGATTACAAGATGTATGATGTAAGATGTAAAAATGATAATCTTATCACATTTGATTATTTTTAAGTATGATGAGCCAGACTGTCACAAATAAATTTAGATTTTAATCCAACAACTGATAAGGAAAATAACAAATAGGCAAACTTGCTTTATATAGAATTATCACAATGTTTAATACACAATTTTACTTCCTCTAAGAATCATTCCAAATTATTCATGTTTTTTTTTTCTTTTTTTTTTTTTTTCCTTTTAAGTCAAGATACTTTACAGCCTAATTTTTATAATTTTTTCAATACATTCTGTATTTCTACATTATTCTACATGTTTTTAACTAAAAGATTTTTTTTTTGTTTCACAGTTAAATTTTATTAATTTTTTTTTATCAGGGTGAAAAAAAAACAAAAATATTTCTATTCATCTTTAATAATTCTTTAAACAACATTTTTAATTCAACTACATTGTTCTGAAATTAGTTAATAACTTAACCATTTTTTAGTTATTTTTTCTCTTCATAATTTTTAACCAATATTGCTAAAAAAAACTGATAAACAGATACTTAAAAAAATAATTTAAATAAACAAAGTCAGGTCTCCAGATCACCAAAACATTATAACTACTATTGAATTTGGTGAGCTATTTTTTTTTTTTTTAACTAGTCTTGCCTATATTAATGTTTGAGGTTACTAGGGAATAATAAATAATTGTAACCCTAGATTTGTATGTCTCTAAATTTTTTAATTTATTTAACCTGCATTTTTTTTCTAATAAAATTCTAAATTTTTAATTCTATATTTTTTTTTCAGATGCAAATTATGTAATAAATCTAATTAAATAACTGTTTTAAAAAAAGTTATGTGTAATATTGCTTTTTACTATTTTACTTGATCTTTTTCTGAGAAAATCATTAATTTCTAATATACCTATTGACTTAAAAATTTAAGTAAAACAAAAATTTACTAATTAGGAGTAACAAATAAAAAATAAATGTATAAAAATAAATGTATAAAAATAAATCACCAACACACATCTTTATTCTGTCTTTTTAAAATAAATTAAAAAAAAAAAAGTCCAAACTCAAAATAAATTAAGCAACTGTACTTGCATCCCTGAAATGGTCTGCGTAAACTAGATAAAGTTCATAAACCTCTAAGAAACTTTGTACAAGTTAACAAGGCAATGCCTAAGCAACCTTACAATTGGTGCATATTTTAAAAACATTTCTCTCTTGTTAACCAATAACCTATTTAATTCCTATAGTCATAGATAATAATTTCATTGGTTGTATAGGAAAATGCTCAAAATTAATAGTGGTTTGTTGAACAGGCACCACCAAAATTTGACTTAGACCACAGTTTCAGTTTCTGTCACACAAAAAATAACATACTTCATCAAAATTGTGAATATTACACATTCTTTGTATGGCAATTCTTCATTTAAATTTACCTTATTAACAGCAAAAAAACTAATAGAGACATTTTGAAAGACAGACTAATAAAAATATGTACAGACTAGCAATAATTTTTAGTCACTGGTTCATAAACCAGTGACAAAATTTTTTTTAATTTCTACCCTTGTTTAAGGTAACAAAAATAAAAATGATGCAAACATATTTAACAAAAGAAAAGTTCACAAGTGTGAAGAAAATAGAAACTATTAACAGAGTTGCAATGCAAAAATTTTTTCACTGGAATGCAATTCACCACACTTTGGAAAGGAAAGATGCAATCAAAACTAATAAAAGATAATTTTTGATCAATAATTTTTAAATTATCTAAAGTTACCTAAGTTTTTATTTAGGTAGCCTCAATAATTTACTCTTTATTTATTAAAAAACAATTTTAAACATAAATTTATTTTCTTTAATATATAAGAGCAGATTTATGAATTATTTATAATTATACATCAAACTACTTTAAACAATTTAAAATTCCATACTGAATTATCATTATCAGGTATTATCACAAGTAATTTTCTTTTTAACTACCTCTATTCCTAAAAACAACTTTAAGGAAATACAATATCATAATTGCAGTTTAAAAATAGAAATGAAGCATTATAAATAGATAGCTAATTTCACGACAAATTGTCTCAATTTAGTAGAACTGCCTTCTAATGTAGAACATAAGCAAAATTAACTTTAAATTTGTTAGTATTAAGAGGATTTTCCTGAAACTGTTTTGTAATAAAATAACATTATAAAAATACATAAATAATAAAAAAATTAAGATTATTTAGTGAAAATTAGTAATATATTTAATAAAGTTTTGAACCCTGTTCCACTTCAATAAAAAGTATTAAAATGCAGTATAGTAACATATTTCGGACCCTTTAAATCCTTGGCCTTAAAAGAATTCACAATTGTTTCATTTCACATAAGCAACTATTCTGCAAATGCTTATGGGACATGAAACTTAAATAAGTTATATTATAAAAGCCCAAACCAAATTTAGCTAACTAAAGCTACCTAGTCTAGTAAAAATAAAATTTTAAATAATTATTAGAATTTGTGATAGCTGTAGGGATAACTATCCAGGATATTTCCACATCGAGATGTGTCACACAATCAGTCGCCAAATGCATTAAAAACTCTTAATTTTTTATTAAAAAAACATACAACAACTTGCAGAGGTTTGGCAAGGGGTAATGCCAGAGGTCTGTCTAGGTTTTTCTGAGAGGTACTATTTTGTGGAAATTTAGACATAATTAGTGAAAATTTAGGCATAATTTGTGAAAATCAAAAATTATATTCAAAAATCAACACGAAAAATATGGCAAAAATATGTATTTATCCTTTTTTACAGGATACAAAAATAAAATTTTAAGAAAAAAATTTTTTTGAAACGACCGTTTTTCCTAAAGTTGAATTCGTGAAAGTACCGCTAAACGGTAGTAAATTTGGCCTAGACAGATCCCTGAATGCAATGGCTTGGCATGGTGACAACGAGTTATACCCTTTGTGGGGAAGATTGATCAGTTGCAGAATAATCGCCAAGTCTTCGCAACTTAGGGGAAGTAGCCCACAAGAAACACAAATAAAAAAACAGCACAGAAAGGGACCAACTCTAAAGATATAGCTTGTAGGCACCCCTAGGCAAAAATCTACATATTTGTTCCTTTTAAAAAAAAGAAATTGAAAGTTTAAAACCTATTTGGCACCTTAGCGATTGTAAGTGGTGCGACAGATCACGATACGGAAATATCTCACCTTTGTGTTGGCCCTCTTATGCAATTTTTTAAAAAATGTCTTGCGGGTTACTAGCCAGAAGTTCAATACTTACTAATTATTTTGGCATAGATCACGATACAAAAATTTTAACAAAATATCATTTCCATTTATCTCACTAAAATAGATTAAATAATATGTAGCTTCAGTATTTAAACAAGAACTGAAAGATTTTTACAAAATAAAAAAAAAGGATGAGATTAGAATACTCTACTGTAATTGTACCTTCATTCTATGCATAAATAAAATATGCAATATCAGTTTGACACAACCTAATTAAAAGTATGATACTTATATTATAAAACATAACATCATATCAAATATTATAAGGATATGTTCATGAGGAAAAGTTCTGAAAGTTTCTCGCGGGTCACTGCCCCGAAGTTTCCAAGACTTGGCGATTATTCTGCCACAGATCACGATATGAGTAGATTAGTTACATTTTCATACTTTAGGAATGGGCATAGACATTACAAACAAAAATAGTAACTATATCTTTAATAAATTTTCAGGGTATGTTCATGTAGAATAGTTATAATACTTGTTTCTTAAGGAACGGGTAATTACAAACAGAAATTTGAAAAGTAAAATAGAGAGATCAGTAAATTTCAGAGGAAAGAAACCAAATTAATTGTAACACATTTATTTAAATAAAATTGCAATGCATCATTAGACATAAAAATGTTAATCACCAGCCATAATCTTGCTGAGTATTCCCACTGCGGGCATCACTAGAGCACTTCCCAATTGCCATAGAGAACAATTTTGTATTTTGTTGGATGGTGGGAAAGGCCATCTTAACACAATTTGATCACCATTCGGCATATTATCCATTGAATTCTAGCATAATTTTTACCCTAAGTTTGAATAATTAATCTCTCATCATCTCTCCGTCATAATCACTCTCCAAAACACGACGACCAACATTAAATAAAAAAAAAATTAACAAAAATATTTACGAATGAGCAGAAATTTTATTGAGCGGAGTTGAGATATCATCGGCTTCTTAAGTCAAACTGCAAACTATGTAAGCTATAATCTAGTTTGCTTCTGAGTCACTGTGAAGTGCTTGAACATCCCTGAACATCCTGATCTGGAAAACATCCCTGAGAATGATCCGAAGACATGGAATCGCAATTTCGATCCTCTGCAGATGGGATGGCACCCCCCGACCACGTGCACACGATACCGAGCACGCTCAATCCCTACGTTGACTGGTCAAAGTGGTCACCTGACTGCATCTAGTGATGCTTGACTTCGGTGATCTGCTGGCAACTGTGTCTTAACGATCAGTCCACTGCAAGACGCGACGGTTTAGGAAACATCCCCGAGAATAATCCACTCGCTATTTTGATTCTCTGTAGCGGGAATAGCTCCACCGCTTTGGTAGCCCGACTACCTCGAGAAGTCGAGCACTTTACGGTAGAATGGTTTAACGAGGACCGATATCGCGCACCTTCAATCCTTACGTTGACTGGTCGAAGTGGCCACCCACCCGCTTACTGACCGCATCTAGTGATGCTTGACTTAGGTGTTCTTCTGGAACCGTTTCTTTGCAATCATTCCACTGCAGGGCTGAAATTTAACAAATAATAATAAATTTAAGAAAATATTTAAAAAAATTTATTTTAACTAATGATCTTTTTTTTTAGTTCTATCATTAAACAAAAAAAGCATCTGTGGCGTAACTACCACTATAAATATTCAATACCAATTCACTAGTATATAACAGATGTTAACTTGATTCTACCACGAGGTACCTTTTGATAGATGAAGGTTGGCATAGTCTATTATTAATTCCCCACATTGGTGACCTGCTGACGTGATAAGAAATTGTCAATATTGATGGATGAATCCACATTAAACAGTTGGTTTGCTTTAAAAAAAAAAAATATATATATATATATATATACTGCTCAAAGAAAAAAAAAAAGAAAGAAAGAAATCCGGTGAAGTGTAAATAAAGTCTCCCGGTAAATAAATAATAATGAGCGAAATGCTAGGGAAAAAAAATAATAATAGCGAAAAGCTAGAAAAAAATGATGGGAAAAAATAGCGAAAAAAAGCTATAAAAAAAATAATAACGAGCGAAATGCTTGGAAGAAAAAAAAATATAATGAGCAAAAAATTGAAGTTAATAAATAAACAGCATTAATCAACTAGTGGTATCTGTTCATCGAATTCTATCACAGATAAAATTCTGGAAGGGGAGTAATGTGGCGTAACTACCACTATAAATATTAAATACCTATTCACTAGTATATAAGAGATGTTAACTTGATTCTACCACGAGGTACCTTTTGATAGATGAAGGTTGGCATAGTCTAAGATTAAACTCCCCTCACATCCATTCGGAATTTTCGTAAGAGAAAAAAGAAGATTCCCGCAGTGGACTGATCGTTAAGACACGGTTCCCAGCAGATCACGGAAGTCAAGCATCACTGGCTATGGTCAGTGTGCGGATGGGTGACCACTTGGATCAGTCTGCGTAGGGACAGAGGGTCAGCGGTATTGATCCTCGTTAAATTGTTCTATCGTAAAGCGCTCGGCTTCACGTGCAGGTCGTCGGGCTACTGAAGTGGGGGCGCCATCCACTATTAAAATTGTTATAGCAAGTCTTCGGATCATCCTCAAGGATGTTTCCCAGTCCCATTATATGTTCCAGACGTCAATAGCCCATTGTGCAGCTCTAGTGTCACGTAAATGAGCTGCAACTACAACAAATTAGAAAAAAAGTAGTGCTGATCAAATGGCATTAAAATACAGGGTGTCTATAAAAGAACTCCGGGGTTTTGAGGCAAAATATTTTAATGAAATAAAAAACATACATACATGTTTTATACATGACTGAAAAGCTTACATTTTCAAGCTTTTTAACACTTAGTAAAGTTCTATATGAGCCCCGTTAGTGGCACGGCAGACGTCTAAACGGTATTCTACCTCTTTCCATGTCCTGGCGAGCATGTCTGGGGTGACAGTTGCCACACAATTGACTATTCGTTCCCTGAGAAGTTGAACATCACGAATTTTCTCTGCACTTTGTACGGTAACTAAAGACTTCGTTTCTATGAGCCAAATAACACATTGAGCCTTTTGTTGCGGAGTCGCCATCATTTCAAATTTCGCGACGTCATTTCAAGGTCAACGCCCTGCAGCGTCGCCAACAGTTGATACAAACATTCCCAATTGGTATGAGTAAAACTTTTTGAGCTACTCTTTTCAGAGAAATCGACTAAATTTTGCTATCTTTTATAGTTAGTGAGATATGAATTTTTAAAACCCCGGAGTTCTTTTATAGACACCCTGTATATCACGGATAGCTTGAAATATTTTTTCATTAATATTAAAACTTTATAAAATGTCCTCACAATCCACAGACTTGAACTTGGGATCTTACACACCGAAAACGTACTCCTAGTAAATAAGGAATGACATAGGAATCCTTATTAACCTTATTTTAATGTAATTTTAATAATAATTTTTTTGAAACTTTTCTTAATTTTTGTTTTCATCTATCTAGTTTCAGAAGCGAGTAATTTTTAATTTCGTTATAAGCATGCAGTTTTGCTACCTTTAAGTGGACATGAAAATGTGTAGTAATATTGGACTTCTCATAATGCCGTACTCGTAATATCCAGCTTTTATTGTACAATCAATTTGTATTAACGACTTGCGTGCCCCGTGTCTTTGTTTCTTCTTAGACATAGAGATTTCTCTTGCTTGCGTGATTTTGAATGCCCCTACTCTAAAATTATGAAAAAATATCATTTTTTTTTAAATATATATGTGGAGTTTCAGCGACATGGTGTAATATTTGAGCAGATTACATCAACCGTCATCATCATGTAATACTTCAGAGAATTTCATCATCCGCTTCGTCGTTGAAAGGCACTAAACGAATCCAGACGGGAAAACTCCCGAATTGACAATTAACTCTTAACTTTTTCCATAGAACAATGTAATTTCACATTCACATCCGATTCGGCGATACTGCGCGAAGGCAGCTCTCACTAATCATGTCACTGTTAAATTTATTTCCTTTTTTTCCATTAAATGTTAGTTTGATTACTAAATTATCGTCGTTATTTCCTCTTATGCTCCACAAACTACTACATAAATATACATAATTCTATTTTTTATTTATTTTTCATTCTTCATTCACTATTATTAGCCTACAATTTTTTTGTGTTCTTTTCCCATATTATAATTTAAAAATTCTCTGCGTTACTGTTGAATTATTACTAATCAGATACGTTGTCCATTAAAAAAAAATTCATTTCATGAACCTGTTTGAAAATTAAAAGAAATTATGTAAATTTTTTTATTTAAAGCTTGTATCAAAATTAATTCCTTTCAATTTGCAAATAAAGCGAAATTTATGGTTCTTTTACTTTGCACCAATAAATTAAAATTCATATTTTATTCACTTAAACTCTATTTTTTGGAAAAAAAGAAGAAAAAACGTCATAAGTTCTTATTATTAATTTTATACAAAGAACTTAATTTTTCAATATTAATATTTTACGTCTACAACAGACGCGCCTGCTGCATGTAATGCATAAAAAAAAATGCCTATTGATTTTTGATTATATTTTTGGATTTGTGATAGAATAAAATACTTTTTTTTTTATTAGTGAAGAGATTTAATTTTTATCAACTGAATAAATCAAGATTTAAAATTTTACATTTTTATAGAAATCGCTAAAAAAAAAAAAAAAAAAAAAAACTATAGAACTCCTTTCTTAAATCGGATAAAATATGCAACAACAATTCTGTCCATGTGGTCACAAAAAAATAATTTACTTATGGTAAATTTAGTTTTGAGTCTAACCTTTTTTTTAAAATTCTAGAATTGCTTTCGTATCTACGTTTGACATTAAGCGACGTGACATATGACGGTGTTGATTTTTATAAACTTACCAGCTGCACAAGTTAAGTTTTGAGCTTAGCTATACGTGATATATATTTAAGCACTGACATAATCTCAAGGAAGAAGTGGGGATTTAAAGTTATGTTACAATAGGGTGTTTTACCTTTTATGTGATCAAGATTTATCGATTACTTTTATAAAATATAGCAAGAAACTGGACTAATGTTCAAACTAGTACATTCCAAAAAACATTCTCTACGCTTTCTTAATCATTAACATCAAACTGACCTCTTTTCTTTGTATAAATTTTTTCCTTTAGAGTGGATGCTGTTTCTCTCAAATAAATATAATCGAAAAAATTTACATTTTGAAATTACATTCATGTTTTATTTTTAGTAACAGCAAATTTATTATTTTCTGATTAATTATTTAATATAAAATTTTTTAATTTTATTCCCGTCATTTTTTTGCTTCTAATTTATCGACAAATCACAGTTTAACAAAATTTATTGCTTTGTTAAGTAGTTTTTTAATTTTTTTGCTGTTGAACTTTTCTTTCAATTTATCTCAAACTATGACATAATAATTAGACCAAAATCCGAATTAGTTAAAAGGTATGTTTATTATTTTTTTTGAGGGAGCACGTTTGCGTCTAATTTGTATAAGGTATTTAATGTATGCATTTTATTACGAAAAAATCGGAAAATAATTTAGTGGCTTCAGCGTAATTTGCATTTTATTATTATTTTGCTCATTATACATTCAAAAATGCATTATACTTTTACTTTTTTTTTTTTGCAACAATTTAAGTTTCTGAAAAAGTTTTATTCTAGTTAAAAAAATTATTTAAAAAGAAGGCGTCGAAGCATTAAATATTAATCATTATGAATTTTGTAATTATTAGTATTAAAAAAATAAATAAATAAAGCTTCATGGAAATGGAGAAATTACATTTTTCTACTGTTTAAATGAGCAATATTATACGAAAAATGTTGATGAAAGATATTTTTTATTCATTTCTGATATCAACACAGAAAACAGACATCGTTTCCTTCTTACAAGTTTAACCCCTCACAGGGAAGTCTTTGCAGGGTCCCTGGGCACAGAAATGTTTTGGGCCTTTATAATACGTTATTCTCTTTAAAAAACTACAGATTTATAAAATAAAGCACTTTTAAGCTATGGAATAATTTTAACAAACTTAAACACATATTGATTACCCCAGAAACTCAATGCGCACAAAATAAAGCATTTTTTAAACTGAATAATTAAAAAAAAATTAAGATGCTAACCTCTTACAATCCTCAAATAATAAAATAATTTTAAAAACCATGGAAGCTAAATAAAATAATTGAATTTTAAAAACAACAACAAAGGTATTACAAATCAAGAAAAAAAAAAAAGCTATGAATTATTTCATTGAACTTAGCAGTTATTAAAATATCTTTCAATGCATATCAGACACAGTATAAAAGTTCCTGTTTCATAACGCTGCGTAATTTTAAACTCTTTCAATTATCACTTTAACTAATTTTAAATACTAAACACAGTTGGAGGTGGGCAAGCATTTTTAGATACATTATAACTAAACTTAAAAGTTGTGCACAATAATTTATTTCGCATAGATATTTTCCCAAGAAAGCAGTAACATGTAAACATTTTAATATTACATTTTTATGTTTGTTTAAAGTGATGCAAATTCATTTCAACAATTAAACTCAAAGTTGTTTGAGAATTTATTTCTAAATTAAAAAATAGATAAAAATTATTGTTAAAAAGATTTTTTGTAAGAAAAAAAAATAATCGTTCGGTTTGAATCACTTTGATTTAAACCAGCCAACTCAGCTCTGCATTGAAATCATGTGCTTAGAGTCACGAGACAGGAAATATTTTCGATAAATACTAATCTGTTTTCCTAATACAGTACTTACATAAACTAATTGATGTATAACACTAACATTAAAACAACATCACTAACTGAGGGCTATAATTTTTTTTTCCTTTAACAAAAAAAAAAAAAAAAAAAAAAAAAAAAAAAAAAAAAAAAAAAAANAAAAAAAAAAAAAAAAAACGCATTTTTTTCCTTCTTTTTTTAAAAGTTTTAATGTATATTAAGTTCTCTGGCTTATAATGCTTACATTATCCTAAAGACAAATTAGTATTAACAAAATATTTGTGCCTTGTGGACGTTTAGAATCGAAACAAAAAATAACTTTTATTCGAATAGACCGAATTATTTGAGCCTCACAAAATGACTTGTGCCCTAAAATTAAATGGATGTATTCCTTTGATTACTTGTCAAAGGGGTTCCTCGGATTTCCTGATGTTTTTGAAAATGAGAACAAAAGAAGTAAGAAAAGACAGGGCAGGGTACGTACGCACTGCGAAAAAATTAAAAACTGGTATATAAAAAAAATAAATTATATTAACATTACTACCACTTTTTAATTTTTTCCAGATGCGTATAATAACAGCAGGCGCAAATTTGAACAAGAAATTCAAGTTGAGTACCTAAAAGTTTCATTGTGAAGTAGAAAAATAGATTCTGTTGACTTTTTAAGTTTTCCCGGTGATAAACTATTCAAATTATTTGTGTTTGCATGATATTCAATCACTATTTGTAGAAAGGACAATTAAATGCACACTTATAACAGAATATATTTGTTTTACAAAATATAAAATACAATGTTGCTTATTTTTATTTTATACAATTTATAAAAACTAAGATTCTCAAGGGTCCACGAGTACTAACTGGGTGTCCCTCTGCAAAGACAGTATTGTCCCCTTATTCTTAAAACGCCATGTGCGGATGTCCATCGGCTAAAGTATCTACTTCCTAACTTCATAGAATTCGAAAACCAATACTGTCTTCCTCCAACTACTTCAATCAACAAATTATTCCATTATAAGTACTTCAACTAATTTCAGAAATCTAGCCAACTATTTTATTGATCACAAATCCATCATGCTTCCTTATTTGCCTTTGTGGCAACATACTATTAAAATCAAAAGGAATTCCTCTTACGCTGCCTTTTTTTTATATATGGACTTGGGGTGAGTAGAAATCCACAGGTTTATCAAAACAGTTGACTGCCATTTACTGCCAGTCTTCAATGCCTTATAGAAATGAGGACGTCTTAATTTTATAACAACTGCCTGTTGAGTACAGCAGGTCATTGGCGATTTTGTGACTAAAGCATCTTGACGTGCATGGCATATCTTTCACGTGCATGTGGTTATTTATACTTATTTTCCATAACTTAATTTTACCTTAAAATTGCCCACAAACAGTACAGTGTAACATAAAGCTAATAAAAAAATTAATTACAAGGATAATTGATTATCCAATCCCACTTTTTTTAATGATATCACCTCAGTTTTCAACAGATTTAGAAACACGAGTCTCTCATTGCAAGCATTGGTTAACTTCATTTTTTGAAATTATATCTTTAACTATTTTTACAAGAAAAAATGTGCCACGCACTTTAAGTTGGTTTGGTCTTAAAATCAACAACGGCATACTGTAGACGTCGATAAATAACACAAAAATAAAATTGACGTGTTCTGATTTATTTCAGGAATAGAATACTAAACGTCTTTCATTGAATTGCAGACAACCATTTTAATAAGCGTATCTGCGAATTTGTTTTTGGCGCATGTTAATTTAAATGTCAAAGCACTTTTAAGTTTGCTATAAAATTCCCAAATAGAAAAAACTAACACCTCTAAACAACAAAGTTTACATTAAAAATTTATATTATTATAAACAAAATTAATAAAAAAAAATGAACAATATTGCAATGCATCTTCCATTTTTTACAGTTATCATTGACTATCTATAATTGAAAAAACAAAATTAAAAGAGGAAAAAAGGGAAGCTCAATTACGCATCAATAATACAAAATTGGATTTTAATAATTGCACATCAGTAATTCACAAAATATTAGATTTTTAAGCAAATTTGAAGGAAGTTTTGAGTTCTACATAAAAAAAAAAATGTTTAGGGAGAGTGCAGTTTGAAGATCTATTTTGGATATAATACTTATTTGCAGCATCTGTTGAATTTTCCGCATTTATTTCATGCCGAGAACTCTTTCGTCATAGATTAGCATTGGGTATAACTGCTTAATCAGGTAAGGGAGCAGCGAATTTGAACTCAAAATTTAGTTTGATATAAACAGTTAGAGGGAGAAAAACTCAAATGCTTACCTACTCAACATGTTAAAAAAAAAAACCCGCTTAAAATGTTTCAAAGCATGGAAAATTGCATGTTTTAAACATGACATCTTTTTAATTTCTTACAATATATTCCTCAACTGTGAAGCTTAATGCACATTTTTTTCTTTACAAAATTTTTTTTAAGAAATAAGAACACTATGGAAACAAAAAAGGTTGTATTATAAATTTTATTTTATTTACAATAATGTTCAAAAGTGGAAAAGTTATTACTTCATAGTTTAAATAATAAACATTGCTTACTTTACACATCTTCCATAAAAATTTACAAAACGCAACAATCATAAAAGTTTTTTCAATGAAAAATATAAAAAAAGAGCACCATAATAAAACATGAAAAAATGCTACACACAGTAAATAAGAGAATAATAGCTGATAAAAATTTTGTAAGGTATTAGTTAGTCACAAATATTTTGAAGAGTTTAGGCAATACACTGAGGAACCACACTTTTCTGGAAGGAGACATTTTTTACACTCAATTGTTCCTTAGCATTGTTCCCAGATAGGTACCTTGTATGTTTTCACTAAATTACAACACACAATATGTGGGAACTATTTTTTTCTAAGTGGAAATTGTGATATTTTTGATCATCAACACTCACTTGAATGATTTGAAAAATGTGGCATCCCATTATAGGGCTTAAAGATCTATAATGATAAATTCAATATTTATTCTAAAAATGTTGAAAGACTCTCAATGAAAAACATAAGAAACAAGTTTTTAGCTTTATACAACCAAAGACATAAGAAACAACTTCATAATTCACAATATAATAAAAAAATTGTCATGAATCGGCAATAAATATGTTTTTTAAAACTGTAGGCTAAAAATTATTTTTGAATAAAATTATAGAAAATGACTAAGTAAATTTATGAAATTTTTTTGATTTATTACAGTAAAAGAAATAAATAAATATGAAGTAGACGTTCTTTTACAAATATTTAAAAATATTAGCAGAAAGTTTCATGTTAAAGATGCATAATATACAAGTTAAAATTTAGTAATATATGTTTTTTTTTTAAAAATTCAATATTTTAAAATCAAATTTTCGGTATTTTCTTTCGTAATTGAATCTATTTTTTATTATAAAATTTTACTCAGTGAAAAAATTTAGCACATATTATAAAAAAAACTTATAAATATTTTTTTAATATTACAAGAAAAGTACTAAGCAAATTAAAACCCTTTTTGTTATTTGCAAGAAAAACAAACTGCAAGTATAATACAATAGTCAAACTGGAATGGTTATCTCTGACTAGATAGAGTGTTCTAAGAGCCAAACAGTTATAAAATATTTTATGAAAAATAATATACTTCAAAAGTACTATAAGTTACGATACATAAACACTAAGCTGCTTTAATCTATATTATTCTTACAAACATTTACAAAAATAAAATAAACCTGACTTACACAAAACAATATGTAATTTCACAGCAATTTAATAGTTTATTTAAAAGACTATTGATGTATTAAAAGTAATAAAACGTATTTTTAATGGCAAAAAAAATAATAAAAAAACATTTTCAAGAAAAATAGGAGGTTAAAATACAGTGTATTTTAACAGCTGCCAAACTTAACAGTGTGAAACTAAACAAAAATACTGGCAAGCATTTTCCCCAAAGCAGGAGTGGTAAACATTTTGCATAAAAACAGTAAGTAGTTATAAAATTGTTACATAAAACAATAACAAAAAGCAGAACAAAAGTATAAAAACAAAAGTGTATACCATATGGTAAAAAGAGATAAAGAAGTCAAACACAAATGGATATTTTAATTATCCTAAGTTTATAAGACAGTGTAACTTAAATGTAACATAAACCTTAATTAACTATTTCTATTAGCTATTCAAATCTACATTTTATTGAATATCTGACTATAAATTTAGATTTTTAAAATAATGAACTAATCTCAAACAAATGAAAAAAAAAAAAAAACACAAAATCTTATCAAAAGTAATTTTTATTACTTTTTATAATGATATTTACTGTTCTACATCAATGTTTCTAACTACTGACTCTTTTGGATTGTTTAAACAATTTTATTGATTGTTTTAATCAATAAAATTGTTTAAACAATTCAAAAGAGTGAGTAGTTAAAAATATTGATGTAGAACAGTAAATATCATTATTAATATTTAAAGATAAACTAAAAACTGAAATAAATTAATAAATGTTAGCTATTCATAAAAGTTAGTAAATGTGTAATTACACCTTATCTTCAATAGAATATGAAGTAATTATTGAACATTTCAAATTAACTATTTAATGTCATACAATGTTATATGCCATTAATTCTTTGTCACATTTTAGGACATCTTGTAAATTATGATGGTTATATGAAATAGTTTTTTTAAAAGGCTATAATGTTTGAACCAATTGCTTATACAATAATTTATTTGTATGCTTTATAGAAACACACGGAGTACAATTTCATATTTTAATAATTGCATGAGCTCATAACTTACATAGATAAAGTAGTAAAAATGAGATTTTTAAACTTTATTTGAGCGACTGAAAAATTAGTTCAGAAATGTTAATGTAAGAGAATTTAACACAGATCCTTACACTTATTTGACATCAAGCATGCTTGGTTATAATTGTCAAGAATATAATAAACAAATTGTGGCTTCTGGTTTCAAAATCAGTTCAATAGCTTTTCAAATATTTTGTAAGAGATAAAAAAGACATCTCTTATTTATGTATTTAAATAAATACATATAAAAAAAAGGAAGAGCAATCTAAAAAAAGTTAGTGATTAAAAATACCTTCTATTAAACTGTTTTAGCTTATTATTATGTATCTGATGCTAGCAAAAAACAGTATGTCTCTGATTTCGCAATTCAAATATTCTTTTTCTTTAAGTATTTTCCTTTACTTTAGTTTTCGATATAAAAACAGTAAAATATCTGATTTTGGTAATCATTTTTTCAAAAAGGGATAGAATTGTTTTATTAAAGAACAATTTAACATAGATTAAACTGATTTATAAAATTGATAAACTGCTTTTAAAGTCAAATGCTTAAAATGAATAAATAACTGAAATAAAAATAGGGGGGGGGGGAGCACATAAACTTTGGTAAGGCAAGTCTATTATTTGTTCCTTATATCAGTAAAAAAAAAAAAGAAGCTTTTTCTTTAAAAATTACAGCTAGGAAAATTTTATGTTTTTGAATGAACATATAATGGGTTTTGTAATATTTTGGAGTGAGATAAAAACTTCATAATTGAATAATTCTATGAACTGCATACATCTAAATAATTTTTCTTATGAACTTGAATATACAATTCTTTTTGAAACAATATTGGAAACAACCCACATTGTGTAATCTCTTCAGCATCCACACATAAAAACTTTCTGTAGCATTCTAACTGAAAAAAAAAATATCAGATGTCAAAATACATAAAACTGAACACAACTTAATTGTTAAATAAAATAAAATAATTTTCAAGAACTTGCCTTTATTTTTAAAGAAAAGTTTACATAAAACACAAAAAGTGAAAAATAAAAAGTGCATATCACAAATCATGTCAAATTTACACGAATTGTTAAAATGTGATTTTTCTAAAAAAAGATATCAATAAAAAAATAAAGGCAATAATTGTTTTCTTTACTGCTTGGTTAAGAGATTTGTCGAGGAGCCAAAATCATATTTTAGTAAACTGACAAAGTTTTACAGGTTACAGTAAGAAATATTAAAATTTTGAACAAATTTTCAATTATTACTATAATTTTTTGTTGTTGTGGTTGTAACAAAGAAAATGTTAATAATACAGCATATAAATTAGCGTAAACTTTCGCCAGATTTTTAAAGTATGTTTTTTTCTCTGAAAGTTGCTGAATAAAGAAATATGTGAGGCATCATAGGCCATTTCCCAAATTTTAAAGACCTGTCACAATGACAGCAGCACTAGAGCAATATCCCGAGTCATGTAAGAAATGGGCACTACAGTTCAGCTGATGGACAAAAACTTGTGATTGAGCAGAAAGCTCAGTCTTTAATAGAACAATAATTTAAGTTCCAGACTAAAACAGTCCACAAATGTTGACTCAATTGTTAGGTTTGAGAACTTGCTAGCCAAAGAATCATATTTTAGGAAAACGATAAAGATCTCCGAGGTTAAAGTATTCAGTCAATAAAACAAAACTGATAAAACATAGTCTACTAAATTTTATGATGAAGAAAAACAACACGGATAACTAAAACCTTTTCCTACATTCATATTACATTATCACAGCATTTTTATTGTTTTTAAACACTGGCAGAATTTTTTTTTTGTCGTCAATATTAGAAAATTACAGAGATGCCAACTTAATCTGCCTGGCAAAAACGAAATTTAAGTCATTTTAAGCTTAGTATTTTTCATTTTGAGCAATTTTTCTGACACTACATATCAAAATTTTAAAGTATTGCATGAAATGTAACTTTGTTGTAATTATCTCGAGGTGGCACTTCTTTTAAACAGCGAGCATAATTTTCTTTATTCTACAAGTATTACGAACTAATTTGCCACCAATTTCTTAAAACGCTTGCAGAAAGGAAATCAGTTGACACTCCTAAAATTCTTCAATTGTATTATGAAGGATTTTACACATGTAACTCAATAATAATAAATTTAAAGCTTAATATAAACTAAAAAAAAATGAAAGCTCTCACATGGAAAATTTTTATCACTTAGTAACTTCTACAAAACAGACATCACACACTCGGACAGGTTTTTTGGACGATGCAACAGTGGCACTTTTAGCAGAACATTCATTACAAAAAATGTTTCCACAGTTCCTACAATGATGCTAAAAAGAAATATTTAAATAAGTATTAGAAGCAAAAAGCACAGTGAAAAACTATACAGTTAAATGCCACAAAAATAAATTTGAAGTAACTAAAAAAAAATTGCTTTTTGACAGTGAAAATTTGTCATACTAACAATGCATTTTATCATCTATCAAAATTTTTTTTTACTGTGTGATTTGATTTAATAATCAATAGTAAAACTTATTATGTCTTAAAGACACATAAAAATTGCTAAATAAAATAAACAGTGTTTGTTCAGGAAAGTGTAATATTATTATGAGAAAAATTATGTGATCTGTTATTTGCTTTAGTAAAGATCCAGAAAAACAACTAACTTTTTTACAGAATTCATAGCAGCTGAAATCCAGCATTAACCATCAAAGGATAAAAAATGTGATTCAAGCTGCTAATTTTAATCAGTCAATTCAAATCATTAACATCCTACTTTTAAGTAGTTTGCCTATTTCGACAAGAGCTTATTATAATTGGAATTGTTATTTTCAGACATATTTTAATAATATGCCTAATCACACACAATAATACACCTAATCAATACACCTAAATCAAGTTTATTCCGTGGGTAAGGAGCAAATAATGCTTTGCATATTTTTTTTTCATCTTCATTCAACCAAACTACTCATTTGGCAAATATAAGTATTTTTATTACCTTGTTATAGGGTAAATCAGTTTCGACAGATTAATTATTTGTTTTTGCATATGAAAGTATAAAAAAAAATAACATTTGAAATACAACTAACAAAATCGAAAAAGTGTTCGCTACTAAAGAATAAATAACACCAAATTTTTGATATTTACTTTTCTTATTGTGACTGTAAATAGTTTACCGCAAGCTGTGCAATGTGTAACTTCAGAATCATCAGCCCATTTACGAGTAATGTGCTTCATGTTTTCAACCTGAGAAAGAAAAAAAAAAATTGTATGTTAATATTGTATACGCGACACTTTAAAAAAAACAAACGAACATGTTTTTCAAATAGTTGTGTTTTCATATTTCTTAGTAACTTGTGAGAAATGAAAATTCGAGAGAATAAAATTTTTTTATTAGAAAACTAAGTAACATAATTCACAATAGAATGTTGTGAGGGATTTAACAAAAAGTTAAAGATTGAGAACAAATAGTACAGCCCCACTTTTAAAGAAAAACCATACTTTAACTAATAAAAATCTACTAATAAAAACCTACAAAATATTATGTACCAAAAAAAAAGAAGATATCACTAGTAAATCACACTGTGTGACTTGAACTTGGAGTTCTACTTGAGCATTTAAAACTAAAAATGTAGGTAAATGATTCTCAGTATATCTTTATATTTCGTCAACATCTAGTTAAACATTAAAATTGCTATTGAGCTACAAGTGATTATATAACACTTCAGATGTATGACCCCCTGCATCGTTTCATCAATACAACAGATGTTGTTACCTGACTATCTAGTACAACAAATCTGACATTTGGTTGCCACAGAAGGACAATCAGAAATGAATCATTAATTTTTTTTTACAATATATCATCATTATTTAAGATGAGAAAATGAAACAAAAGTTTAATTTTTAAACTTCATGTAAAGTATGAGTTTAGATAAAAACATTTAGAAACACTCAGGTAAAATGTTGCAGTAAAAAATGCATTAAAATTAGTAATAAATAAGTATATTTTTGAATTGTTTAAAAATAGCACTGCTTTTCTTACTTAGCAAGAAATACTTACTTGCAGTGTTTGATTTTCACGGCCTAGTTCTTGCAGAGCTGCAACACAGTCATTGTATTTTCTTTGTACATCAACAGAATTCTTTTGCAGTCTTTCACACTCCTTTTCACTTTTCACACATCTTAAAATTCAAAATACATTAGTAAGTTATCGGAAATTATGTTTGATATCTATTTAATAAATAAAAACAATTTTGTTTAACAAACTACTTCAATGTTTTTAAGCTACTCAACAATAAATAAGTTTAATTAAAAAAAAAAAAAACTAAAGGAGACCTTGGTTTCTGGCTAGAAGGTCCAAAGTCCAAATAAAATGAAGCGGGTTGAGCCAAGGGCAAGCCTCCCTTTCTCGTAAAACTTCAGTTAACTGCAAAAACTGAAAGTATATAACCCAACTACAATAGAAAAATTAATGCATGTTTCTATTTCTTCGGCTCCTGAGGTAGTCCATGGAGAAGTAGGCTAAATGCCTTAAAGGCCAAACGGCATAAGAAACCTAGGTAGGTATTATGAAGTTGGTATTATATAAAGCTGTCAAATTTCTTAGATAATAGTAGATTTATGCATATATATACAAATATTGTTTTTTTTTATTTTATGAAACATGAATAAAAGTGAATTAAAATTCTTTGCTTTATAGTTTATAGACCAAATGAGCATTAGTAGCAGTTAATTTTTTTATTGCATTATGATTAATTTTAATGTTGGCCGTACAATAACTTAATTTGTTTAACAGTAGTTAACAAATAGTAATACGTTAATTTATTTAACCCTTTAAAAATTTTATCATTTTTTTTATTCCTTATAACAGATGTTTTTATTAAAGTTGTAATAAATGAAGTAGTTAATTTACATTTTTATTGCACTCTTTTAAGCCTTAAAACTGAAACATCTAGATTAGCTTTAGTTTTGAGAACATATTGATGTGTTTCAGAAAAAAATTCAAACAATGAAATTCTTTAGTATGTAAGATTTAAAGTACGTATGTAAGTTTTTAGTATGTAAGGTTTAAAGTACAATAAATTTTTTTAGTACAATAATATTAAAATTATTATTTTTTAATTGATATTCATTAGATAATTTAAAGTAATAAATTTTAATTCAGCTTAAAAAATAAATTTTATTAAATTCAATTAAAATTTAATTTACTGAAAATTCAATAAGGATCGGATATTGATAGATTAAATATTTTAGTTCATCCCAATTACATTTAATAAGCATAATGAAATAAACTTTTTGTTCACACTTTTGAAGATAAGACTTACCTTTCTAACAGTGTATTTCGTTCACTAATAGCATTCTCAAGTTTTGCATCAAGTTCTAAAAAATAAATAAAACTATATTTAAGAAAGATTTTAGGAAACAAATATTTATTTTAAGAAAAATTAAAAACAATATCTTATTTTTAATATTCATGCCCACTGCCTAATACATCCAAAGAAATACAAGAACAATTGGGCTAATTCAAAAGCGCTTTTTTTTAAATCTCAAATTAAAAAAAAAGTTTATTAGGAATTCAATACAAAGCACATATTAATTAAGGACAAAAATTGATATTTAATAATGAGTGCTAATTTTACTGCAACCAATTTTACACTCCTCAAATATTATGTAACCATTCGCTTTTAATGGTGTTTTGCGTGACCATTCGGGTGTTGCCATATTTTGTGTGACCATTTGCTTCTGAAAGCAAGTACAAATTTGAATGAAAATTTTCAAAAAATTTATGTGAAATAACATTTGATGTACACAGAAAAAACTTTATTTTTTACTAAAACTTTTTATCTAACAAACAAGAAAATATTTAATAATTCTACATATCCAAAAGTAATTTATTTATTTAAAATTATTGAATTTACTTATTTCAATATTCTGAGAAGAAGCAAATAAAAAATATATAAATGCATTTTTTGTAAACAACAAAATGTCGGAAGTGAAGAAACTCTTTACAGCTATTTTAAATAAATGTAAATTTCCGCTTTCGATTTTTTTAAAACTCAAATATAAGACTTTCATATATAGTAATTGGTTATTTCAAAACTTTGAATTGAAACAAAAATATCGAGATTGCTTATTTTTCAGGCCTGGCCAAAAATATATTGCATGAAAGATATTTAATTATGTTTCTTCATAAAATTTAAATCAATTGCTGCTCAGAAAACTCTAAAAATTGACAATTTGTTGTCTGTAAAAATATTGTGATTTTAAATGGATCAAAATCCATGGGGTCAATAAAGCATGCGAATTCATGACGAAATTGGAGCAAATTGAGAGTGCACCTTAAAAAGTACCTACTAGATTAGAGTACTGTTGTCTATAATGTTTATGTACTGTAATCAAATTAAACACTGGTAATACTAAAACTATTACCTTTACATTATTTTACTTAGAGGTAAATAGAAATTTTATTTAGTTACCATATTTTGTGCCACAAATTTCATCATATTTTTGTTCAAGACTTTCTCTTTTCTTTTGTTCCGCTGATAGGTCCTCCCTTAGTATTTTAATATTTTGTGTGAAAACATCTACTTTTGCAACATGTTGAGCTTCTTTTTCCTTAATATCAGATTCTCGTTGTTGAAGTGTTTGTTTTGTTTCATCCTTATTAAAAAAAAGAAGAAAAAAAACTTACAATGCTTTTATATAAAAACTACAATCCTATATCACTTTACTTAGAATAGAAACAATAAATTGTTTTCCATTTTAATAGGGAAAAAATAAATTAGTTTTTTTATAAGTATATAAGATAAAGCTATCACACATGGTTATATAGCCTATTGTCTAGGAATTCAAGAGTTTGAAAAATGCAGGTCTGCAGAACATGTTGGATCATACAAATGAGGTTTAAGGATAATTCAGGCACTATTGGGAGAATATTTGGTTTAATTTAAAAAATATTGCTGCAAAATGTTTTAACATAAAAAAATGCATTGCTTCACAAAAATTTTCCTTTAAAAAAAATTTAATGAAAAATTATCCCAGAAAAAAAAAATCTTACAAAAAAGAAGAATGAGTTTTACTTTAATAGACAAAAGTGAAAGAATAATTTTGGTTATGTTAGATGAAAAATAATTTTTGAAATATTTAAAACAATACAACTATCTTTATATCACAATTCGTTCATTTAATAGTTTAAATTCTTAAAGTTTATTCCTTAAATTTAGTTTTATGAATAATAATGATTTCAGTACATTTTGAGTTCTATTTTTAATATATATATATATATATGCTAGTTTATTCAAGAATTGTGTAAATTCAAACATTTTTTTTTTCAATGTTAAATAAAAAATCATTATCAAAACATTTTAACAATATATAAGCTTTCTAAAAATATTAAAAAAAAAAAAAAAACTATTGCAACTTTAAACTTTTGAGTAAAATTTCAAAAAAAAAAAAAAAACCTATTCTTTGGGGGAATATTAGGTACTTAGAATTTTCTGTATAACAGTCTAGAAAATACTGATTTAAAAAAATCAAAACAATTCCCTTGAAAGATTTTTTTTTATTTTAAAAAACCAAGTTAACTATATGAAATAATTAGGCAGTTTAAATAACTTAGGCAGTTTCGAATTTATAAAAGCAGTTATGTAGCAAAACAGGTAAAGTAACATTTATTAGTATAGGAAATGAAAAGTTCGAAGTAAAAAATTTAAATGATTAGCTATACATACTAGTGATGATAATAATATTGCACTTTTTTCTTCTAGTTCTTCAATTTGATTTTCCAGCTTCTTTATAGTTTCTTGATTTTGTGATAATTGCTAAACAGGGAAAAAATTTTGTAAAAATATATTCTACATGCAAGATGAATTAATAAATATTTAGACTGTTCCCCATTTAAAATAGAATATGTTTGCTGAAACTATTTTATTTCTAATGTATTTATTTTAAAGCACAATACACAACAAGGGAATGTTAATGCTTGACTCATTGATAAAGATACAATAAATACTAATTAAATACTAATTAAATACAAGTACACTACATAATTATAGTGATAGTACAAATTATGGAAAAAGAATGACATTTTGACACAAAAAGAAAAGTCCTGAAAATTTTATGTACAAAATTTCAATATCAAAATATCAATTTATATACAAAATATCAATAAATACCAATTTATATACCATACTTGTTTAATATGATTCCTGGAACTAAGATTTATAATTAAATTACCAACCAATGATAAATATCACATATAGTAACTAATTTAAGAAAAATCAAGAATGAGAATGTACAAGAAGCGCAATATTAGATTTTAAAAACAAGTAAAAAAATATAAATATAGGGATTTCAAACCTGTGAATACGAATCGGTATGTATGATCACGTGAATATGAATCGGAATGTGTACTTTTTAATCAGATATAAGTACAAAAATCAAAGCTTTATTACAAAGCGCATTATTGGATTGCAAAAACACACGAATACAAATCACAACAATGGAATTTAAAGACGAGTGAAAACAAATCATGATGCATGATTTTTAAAATGTATGAATTTAAATCACAACAGTTGCAGATTTTGGCACAGTTTCCATTAGTCAAAATGGACAAAATAGTCTCAAGATACATGAAATTCCACAGAAAAATCACATGCCCTGCTCCTAGTTTTTAGATCTGGAAGGATGATACAAAAATCCTGTAATTCCGGAGAACACCCAGGATATAATCATATCTCTAGACAAAAAGTTCAGTTAACAAAATCATGCATATTAAGATTCTTATAGAAATACAGCACAGCAATGTACTACTCATTTATAAGTGCTTACCAGTACTATCTCACCTTAGCACAGTCATTTTCTAAGCTTTCAATCTGTTTTTGGAGGTTCAATTTATCTTTAATATAATGATCCTTTTCCAGATTAGCTTCATTCCGAATCTACAGCAGCACAATAGGTAAAACAAAATAAGATTAAAAAATAGAAAAAAAGAGAGAAAAAACAACAAACAAATAAAATTACACACATTTTAAATTTGCATTTAAATATTTCATCATTGTGTAAATGTGATTAAATCTTGGATAAAAACTATTTCATTTAAATAAATAACTATCAAATTTAAAGAAAAGCAAGAATTTAAAATTACCTTTGTGCAATTACTCTTCTCTTTTTCACACATTTCAGTGATATCCATTACTTTCGTAGATAACTCATTGCATGTTTCCTTCATGTCTGATAGCGATTTTTTACCTTCTTCAATTTCATTCAACAAGGAGTTCTAACAAAGAAAAAAAAATGTTTAAATGTAAGCATTCTTGGCAAAATAACTTATAATGATTTGCACACAAGATAAAAATAGAAATTACTATGACTTACTAGCTACTTGAAATCACTAACGTTAAGGGGGACTATAAAACTTTTAGGATATTGAAAATTTGGGATATCAAATATTTACAATTTAATATTAGTCAAAATAATATATGTTGGTATTTTAAAACTAAATAGCATGTTTTTACCTCAAATAATAATTGTTAAAAATAATGTCACAATTTTTACTTCTTTATTTGAATTTATGCTTTGCTTAACAATTTGCTTGTCATTTTTCTATCATAANATTTCAGCGGAAATTAGCGGGAAAAATGGAAAAATCTGAAAAAAAGCGGAAATCCGCGAATCCGCGGAAGAATCTCATCCCTGTTTTAAATGCAATAAATTATGAAGCTCTTTCCAATTTTGTGGGTGGATGCTTTATCCATGCACTAAAATATTTTTACTTCGAAATAACACTTTAAGAATTTCAGAGCAAGAATTCTTCGAAATGAAGGTAAAAAATTCTTCTTTTTTTTTTCTTCTTCTTTTGGAGATCAAAAAAATTTTGTAAAATCAAAGGCCATCATAAATGCAATTAGTGTTCTTATGCATTTATCAAATGCATAAGAAATCAAGTTTTTTTTTTACTTTTATTTTTTTTATCAGGGATGATTGTGACTAACTGAAAAATTTCGCCAGAATATCAGCTTTTGTTCAGGGAAGTCTGCGAATCAATGGACTTGAGGCTAACAGTGAATTATCCTAAAAATTACATGCCCTGTTCCTAGTTTTAAAACCTGGATGGACGACATGAAAAACTTGGAATTGGTACACGAGGAATACAATCATTCTTGTTTAATTTATAGATTTTCAAGTCTATAAACTTTGTCAAATTATTAGTAAAATTACAATTGCAAATTTTGATAAGAAATTTTAATTTGAACACAACGTTTTGAATATGTATTTACAATGATTATACAATTTAATACAAAGTTATCTTAAAGGAAGAAGTTGAAAGCAGAAGCTTGTTAGTAGCAAAATATAAATATCAAGTTAATGTTTATATCTCATGAGTAAATTGGTGATATTAAATTAAATGTATTTTAAATTGTTAAAAATACACCAAGAAATAATAACCTGGTACTAATATACTAATTAAGCTAAAATAATTAGCCACATTACTCTTTATTACATTTAAAACAACAAAATATAAATTTTAAAATGAACTTCACCTTTTCATTTTGTAGAGTAGTAACAGATTGTCGCAAGGTTTTATTTTCATCTTCAAGAGATTGGCATTTTTCAGTGATGTCATTCTTCAGCTGCATGTAAGAAAATTATTTGTTGAAAAAAAAATTTATACATTGGTTTGCACCAGCTAACTTAAACTTAAAGAAATATAAGTTGATTGTTAGAGTTGTATTCCTAAATAGAAGAAAAGAATTAAAGCTAGAGCAACCGTTACGGAGATATGATTTGGAGCCTCAAATATTAATTAAAAAAATACTTTCAATATTTAATAAAATACTTCATACACTTCCATACAATAGTTTAAACAATGCTATTTCAAGAATTAGAAATCAAAATTACATAAATGTAAAATATTAAATTATTGTATATTCAGAACTCAATAGAGCGCAGCCCATAGAGGGCTAAGGCCTACTGTGCCCATCTCAGTTTTCTTGACTTCAGGCTCTGGGGTGCAGGAGAGGAGCAGATGTTTGCGGTTGGGTGGCCAGCAGAACACGAAAACACCAGTGCTTAGTCCCCAGGCATGCTTGGTACTTATTTTATCGACCCACTGAAAGAATGAGAGGCTGAGTCACCCTTGCGCGGCCTGAGTATAGGACCCTGGAGCTTTATTGCTTCTTTATTCCATCAAAATATTGCAAGACAGATTCTAATTTAGACAAAATAGTGTGAGTCAAACTCGCAATGATTACGTATAGTGAAATCACAGAAAAGAATACTCATGATCAAAACATTACTAGTATTTATAGGTAATGTTCACAGCAGGCAAGATATTATTTTAAAACCAAACCACAGTTAGTCATAAAGTGGATAATTCTACAGATAACTGAAATTTCCCTGTACAAGGAAAACAAAATGTAAGATACCTACGTTGCTCATGTTCTCTAATGCTGCATTCAGATCAGCCTCAGCTAGACGACATGTAACTAATTCTTCATTTAAAGATGAAATTTTAGAGCAGAATTCTTCCTTAGATGCTTCAAATTCTGAGGCAACTGCTTCCAGAGAGTTTACTTTTGTCAATGCAGCCTACATGAAAATTAAATCACAATAAAGAATTATTTAAGTGTTTTATGAAATTTATTTAATTAATTACTTTGGTGTAAGTGACAAAAAAATTAAGTTTTCACTCAATAAATTTTAAACAGCTAATGCATGTTTTTAACATATTTTTTTTAATACTTGTAATAGGAAAAGCCCTTAATATTATGAACTTTTTAAAAATATTTAAGCCATAAAGAAAGAAAAAAATCTTAAGCATTAAAACATCCTATGGAACTATTTGTCTGATTTTGCTCAAATTTTGTATTTTGCCATGCATAATTACACTATTTAAAATGACGTAAAAAGTTTTATGTATGATAATTTTTAAATTTTTTCAGCCATTATTTAATAGATTAAAAATAATAAATACTTACTAAATGTTATTATTTTTTTTCATAGAATCTCTTTGGATAAACGAATTTTATAATTGTGTGCAAAAATTTACAATTCGCTCAAAAAGTTAGTTAGTAAGTTAGTTAAATAGTAATAAAGTTAGTAAATTAACATTTAAAGGTTCCAACTTTTGGATTGCTCTTCTGACCAAACTATTGGGACTATATTTCCCAGATTGCAGCTACCCCCAAGGACTTAGGGGTCAGAAAAATGAATTTGCCATAAAAAAAGGTATATTTATTCAGAGAAAGTACGTTTTTGTGTCTGATTTTGAAAATTAAGGGTCATTCTCTCGAATCATTAAGATTGAGTCCTACTACACACAGATCCGATCTTTACATCAAAAGTCATTCAGGTTGGTCTTTTTACTTTTAAGCGCACTGTACATTACATTCAACATATGAAAAAGCTTCTACTTGCTACTGCTTATCATACAACTGGCGAGGTTGTAGGGTAAGGTAGCTGTTTTCTTTTGGGGGGAGCTGAGCGTAAAGAATACTTTTGCCATAGTGTCTGTTTTCTTTGATGTGTGTTTTTCGGAGCGTTTCCACATCATGTTTCTTTTTCTTAAATCGTATAAATACTTTCCTTAAAGGGTTAATTTGCTTAAAGGTTAGTTTAGTTAACAATTAGCCATTCCCTCATTATCATTAGGCAAAATAGGAGTGTATAAATTACTGAGTACTTATAAATTACTTTAAAGAGAACTCATTTAACAGGTATCACCGTATTTTCAGAATTCACAATTAAAAACCAGAATATTAAAGAAACTGAAAATTAAAAAAAAAAATTATAAAAATACGAAAACAGTTAAATTACAAAAGCTATATTATTTATCAAACTATTTTTTTAAACCTTAATAGCTAAGTAGAATTAATTACTTCATAAGATTCTTTCATTTGGTCAAGTTCATGTTCTTTCATTTGCTTTTCTTCAACCAAAACATTTAGTTCATCAGCTTTTTCTTGAAGCAACTTTCCAATCTGAGAATATTCTTTTTCCTTTTCTGATAGACTTGTTTGGATCTGAGTTAAAGTTTGGTTGGACTTTGTTAACTTACTTTCTAAATTTTGTTTTTCTAACTTCAGTTGTTCCATGAATTTAGCTGTCGATTCCTTAATCTGAAAAAAAAGGGTAAAAATTATGACAAATAAAAACAATTCAGTAATATTTTATCACACATAATAAAATTTTTCTTAATTCCATAACTGGTTAAATTTTTTAAAAGACATATTGTTTTAAGTATAATTGAACACCATACTTAAATAATAATAGAATAAGAAAATGGGAATTTTTTTTTGCCTATCATTTTCAATGCTTTTAGACCATTTTCCATTTTACAACTTTGGTGTACAAAATACTCCAAAATATCTGTTTTTGTATACACACTCTTATTATTCATTATTTACTTGCTTTTATGTTTAAAAAACCTGTTTCCCCTCGTTTGCATAGAGTATGAAATTCCATAAAATTTGTGAAAAGTTTAATTGATCTGAACATTGAAGATGGGATAATAATTTAAAATAATAATTCAAATAACTAATAGTTAAAGTAGTAATTTTGCTAAGAATATGTTTATTAGGGGATCTAAATTTTTGTATTTTTATGGAAGGGATTTTTGTTGCAAGAGATTATGGACAAAAACTATTAAAGACAATAGTAAAATAAGGAAGCCACACACTTTCCTTGAATGCGAAATTTACAGAGGGCAATGACACAGGGAAGAGTATTATCATTCTGATTTCATTGAGTCCGGTAACTATTAATACAAGGAAAAGTCGGGATATTAAAACAAGGAATTGAAAAAAATTTACTTCTCTTACATTGCTTATTTCTGGACAAAACATGATTTATAATTCTAAAAACACAAATCTACATGTTTTTGAATGCAAAATTAACTTACTTCATGTTTCTTTTTAGACTGAGATAAACTTATATCTTGAACATAAAATTTGCTCGACTTTTTCTGAAATTAAATCCAGCAAATTACAATTTATATCTTTGAAACTGTGTTAGAATTAGGAACAAGAGGAAAAATTCCAACACTGCACAAAGGGGAAAACCAAAAGGACAACGGGCTTTCACGCCAAGAAGAAATGGACATCATGTACCAAATGGTGTAGTAAAGGGAAAAGTGGTTAGAATTGAAAAACATAGGAGGAAAAATATATAACAGCCATCTTAAAAAGTAAAAGTAGAGGTATAGAAACATAACAGACAGCCATTTTTAAAGAATATATAGATTTAGAAACATAACAACTAACCATCTTTAAAAGAAATATAAGAGGCAGCCATCTTTAAAAGAAAAATATAGATTTAGAAAACATAACAGCCAGCCATCTTTGAAACAGAAATGCAGGTTTAGAAACAAAACAGCCAGCCATTTTTAAGATAAATGATTTTAATTTTCTTCATAACTATTTAACAACCATTAATTCAATGAAAAAATAATAGTATAGAAATGTAAAGAAATGGTCCTTTTAATGTTGTTAAAAAAGTAATATGCACTTTCAGAATTTTAATGAAATCTAAAATATAATTTAAATTTAATTTTACGAGAAAAGGAAGCTGAATAAATTAAAAAAAATAAAAGGAAATTCAAGTAAGAAAATTTCTCCATTTTTTCTTTTAAAAATAAAATGAAGAACAATATTAACAACAGAAAAAAAAATAATAATGATTTACATCTTTTAGCTGCTGAGAGAGATTTTCCATTTGATGAGTTTTCATTTCTAAAGTTTTATCTTTCTTCTCCAACTCTTGTTTTAATGTTCTAATTTCTGTTTTATCAGCTGCTGATGTTTCTTTCTGCCAAGATAAACACATAAAATTTAAAGTAAGAATATCCTGTTAAGATAAACTAAATAAACAAATGAAATTTATTAAAATGTCATCATATTCGTAAAGTAATTACCTTAAATTGAAAAAATCAAAAATTATCACATTTAAAATAAAGCTTCTCAACTGTCTTATTTTACATTAGATTCAAAATACTTAATAAATAATAAACTTTCACTAGAATACAAATAATTTTACCGAGTACATCAATGTTTCAAAATAAAATTACAAATACTTACGTTAATTTCTATTTCCTTTAATAGTGATTCTTTATCATTCTCGAGAATTTTAATTTGGCACTGAACGTCATCTAGACTAGTTTGAAGTAGGCTACATTTCTTGCTTGCCTCCTGAAGGTCTTGATTAGTCTGGAATTATCAAACTATTTAATATTTTTTTTTAAATAAAATAAGTCGTTGAAAGATGTTTATCCTTCTACAATGGTAACTGCATTTTCAGAAAATAAAAAGAAAGTATAAAAAATTTTAGAACTGAGTTGCATTTAATTTTTGTGTGAATTATTAATACATTATTGTTTTTTATAGAATTTTTCAATATTTTGAATGATAATGAGCAAAAAACAAAATAGTCTCATAAAAATAAATCTATGTTTAAATAAATATCCAAAATAGACAATAATATTCTAACAACCCATTTATTTTATTTATTGATTGTTTCTAATATTTTAATGCTTTATGACTGCAAACATTAGAAACATACTTAAATCAAAATTTCATTAACATAACTTCCTAGAATAATAAATTGAGTTTGTTTACAGTTTACTTTGTAAACACAAAATGCGTGGAGAGATACACCAGGAATTTATAGTCTTGGCCCCAGAGACAATTAAGCCTTTCTTCTCTCTTGCCAGTTTTTCGTTCTTTCTTTAATCAAAAAATTTTAGTTAACAATTTTTGAGAAATAAACTTAAATAAATATTATTTTATCCATATGGTAAAATAGTGTAATGTAGGGTTACACTTCTACAGTAAAAATAATTTTGTTTAATATTAAACTCAACACAATTTCTTACCCTTTTTAACAAGGCTCGCATTTCTACCAGTTTTTCTTCACTTTTTGTTGCATTCTGTCCTACAATATTTTGTTGTTGCATTAGCTGCTCTTGAAGACGAGTCTTTAAAATTAAGAAACAAAAATAATTTGATGAAGTTTAAGAGCTTTAAAGGAANAAAATTCATGGAGGGAAATATAAAGTTATGACAGGTCCCTTAGGACAGTGCTCCCCTACCTTTTTATCACCGCGGACCTGTCAGCGTTTGATAATTTTTCCACGGCCCAATGGGGGGGGGGGGGGGGCTTTGATTGTTTATATTTTAGATTATTTTGATTTATTAATTTTAGTTTGATTGTATTTAAAAATGCCTTCAAAATAAAATACAGTTACACCAAAAAATAAATATAAAGTGATTTAACATTTTAACTTAGTAGAAAGTTAAATTTAATGAGAACCCTGAGCTTGCTTCTTTGCAATGAGGCGGTTCCATCTGGGGGTAATCGGAGACAATGATACATTAAAAAATTTATGTCACTACCTTCGGGGGCCCCTTTCTCTTAAATAAATAAAATTTTAATGGAAAACAGATATTTTTAATTTGGGGTATAAACCTAGGAATTTAAATTCAGTTTCAATGAAATGGGCGGCCCGGTACCATTTGATTCACGGACCGGTACTGGTCCGCGGACCGGGAGTTGGGGAACACTGCATTACAGAACTATTTCCTCTTGATTAAAAATTTATGCTCACAGCATTTTTGAATTGAGTTTATGTTCTTTTGCTTTTCAGTAAAGAGAGTTGATTAAATTTCAGAATAGTTTCAAGGAACGTGGGGAATGAGACTTCTTTGCTTTTCTCTGTTTTCTCAAAATTACATAACTCTTGATAGTTAGGAAAACAAATTTATTTTAATCTAACCAAAATTCTTAAAACCATAATTTTTATAGCTCCAACATAAGACCATAATCTTTACTCTGAAATCATAATAACTATGGATAATTTGTACTAGTTAGCACCTTAGATGTAGTAAAAAAATATTTGATTCAATGATGCATATAATTAAATACATACATTTTCTTCTTTTAACTGATGCATTGCAGCACTGGCTCCCTCACCATCTTGGATCTGAAGTGTAAAAAAAAAAAAAAAAAAAAAATTATTTTTTAAACAGAAAAATATAAATGTAGTTGTATATTATAGATTAATTTTGAAATATTTAAGTACTTTTCTGGTCAGTTTCTTGATTACATTTTGTTTAAACAATAAATATGTATAATACTGCATATCATTATTATACTAATTTCTTTATTTTTTAGTTTGTTTTGAATTTAAAAAATTGGTTAAAATAGAGAGAAAAATTATTATTATTATGTTTTATTATTTATCTTAATTTCTCCTCTCGGTAATTTATGAGATTATTTAATAAAATTTCAGCATTTTTTCAAATTGAAATTTCCAGTGTAAAATTGAAAGTCTGTACTTTTATTTTCAATTATTTTCAATATCACCAATTATTTTATTTTCACATCAATGATATTCCACCAAAATAAATAATTATAATAATAAATTAACTAATAAAATGTTTTTTTTTTCTTTCTCCTAATCTGTAACAAAATAATTTTTGAAGTTTTTAATTCTATTTCTCCAAAATTAATTTAAATGCCAATTTAAACCATAATTGACAATAACAGCAAAATAATATGTAATATCCAAATCAAAACTAAAAACTTCAGAAAAGGCACCAAATTTTTGGGAATTCCCACATAAAATTTCCTAATAGCTCTAGGTTTCAGATAAAAAATTACATTTCCTGATTTTTCTTCTTCTTAAATGTTTAGTCAATCAAATTTTCTGTTTTTTTTTCCTTTCTTAAAAAAACATAGCAAACACGATTGGCAGAAACATCAGTTTTTCCACACAAAACTTTGTGATTCTCAAAATGTATTTTGATGGTTAGGAATCTTATTAAAATTTACAAAATACCTAATTTAATTTTTTTTACCCAAATTTAAAACTTTGAAAAAAAATGCAACTAAAAAAAATAATAGAACATTAATATATAGACACATGACAAAAATGATAAAATAAGAGACATAATATAAAATAAACACTCATAATCTTAAAAATAATATTAAAGAAAAAAAAANAAAAAAAAAAAAAAAAAAAAAAAAAAAAAAAAAACTCACTTTAGAAAAAAGATTTTCTCTATCCTTTTTCATGTCTTTAATTTTTTCTTTCATTACTTTGATTTCTTCTTTCAATTGTGAAAGTACTGTTTCTCTAATGGAAAATAAACAGGAAATTACAAAGGTAAGTAAGATAAGTTATTGAAAAATCAGTTGTAAGTTATCTGTAGAAACATTTAATTTGTATAATTTATATTTGCTTGTACTAACTGCATTTCTCTAGAAGACTTCATTTATTTTTGCTTCTAACTATCAATTATGTAGTGCCTGTAGCATATTTGTATTGTGTCTTCCAAAGTGTAATATTGAATGTAATTATTAACGTGATTATGAACTCAAAAGTAATACTGCATTTATTCACATAAATAAATTATGAATGCAGTACTTCCTAGGAATAAAAAAAGGGTAGAGTGCTGTCTGTCAGAAAAGGGCACTTTTAATTTTGGAAAGGTACAAAATTAATACTGTAAAAATGCATGAAAATGAGAACTATTACTTAATAACTGAATTTGATCCCCAACAGTTATTAAATTACGTTTTTATACTATTTTATGCGTATATTTCAAAAAATAATTATCTCCCATTATCAAATTATAAAAAAAATGTGCAGTTCAGAAAAATAATTAAAGTCATGTTAAAAGGCGATCTCTGTCCATAAATTTTCTCAAAAAAAAGTAAACTAAAAAAAATTATTAATCAAAAAAAAAAAATTTGAAAGCAATAATTTAAACTGAAAATTGTAAGAAAAAAAAATTTAAAAATGGTATTTATTTACCCCTTTTCCCCCCAAAAAAAGATACTTTTAAAAATTTAATGAATTGAGATTAATCCCAACAAAGTAAATATTTGTAATAGTAATCAGAATTAAACCTATAAACACATAATTTTAACAGCATGAAATTATTATTTAAACGGTGAATAAATTTGTTTCAAAATGGAATATGAAGCACTGCTTTGAAGGGATGGCAGCTTATTTTTACAAAAGGGGCAAAGAGGGCGTTTTTAAAGGGATCAAAGGGCAAGCCGTCCTTTTAAATATGCTTAGGAAGAACACAATGAATGCTTATAATATTTACAAAAATAGAGTGGAACTTCATTTTTTCCCCCTTCAAATTACAAGATGTAATTAAACTTTAAAGGAAAAAACAACAACATAAAACAGTATTTATTTTCCTTAAAATTTGTCCCAACATTTGAATTAATGTATCATATATAGAAAAGGTCGTGAGTACATTTTCTTGGCAAAAGGAATGCCACCAAAAATGTTAAGCAATGATGGCTAAAAACTAACAACTTATAAGAAAAAATATTTACATACTTTTCAGCAGATATCCTTTGATTTTCTTCCAAAGAACTATTTTTTTCAAGTAGAGAAGCCTTAATTTGCTCATAGTCACTAACCTATTGAACAAATTACGGAAAAATCAATAAAGGAACATTTCACACACATACTAATAAAGTTCATAAAAAAGGAAATAATTAACACAAACTGATAAAGTTTACATAGTGAAAAAGGTAAAATTGTTCAATGAATAATGAAAAGGTGAAAAATTTTTTTTCTCTTGTAAAATAATTTGACTATGGAAAAAAATGAGGAATACATATTTTTGAAACCTTTTGAAGCATTAGAGGGCTTTATAAATAGTTTAAATGCATTATTTGGAATAAAAAAAAATCATTACAAAATAAAACGAGAAATAATAAGAAACCTGAATATTTTAAAACCAACAGAAATAAGTTGATACTTGGCACAAAAGAAGGGCTTAAAATTAAATCTTTCTATAATACAACAAATTCGAGTAAACATTTTAGTTGCACAATATTTGGAAAAACCAAGTTCATAAACATTCTATTTAAAAGACAATTCTTTTAAATTACTTTATATTTTGACATACTTTATCTAGATTGGTTTGCAGCTTGTTTTTCTCAATTTCTTTTGCATTTAGCTCTCTCTGAAGATTTGATACATTGCTGGACATCTCACTCAACTTCTTTTGAAGGCTAAGAAATAAAAGTCAAATTCATTTGGGGAAATCAAATGAAGCATAAGTAATAAGTTATAGGGAAAAAATTCAAGGTAAGTAAACACAACTGAGTTATAAATTCTACCAATCATTGCAATATAAGAACACAATGGGAAATGATTATACTGCAGGTCAGTGGGTCAAGTCAGATTACTTATGATTGGTTGAGAAATGTAAGAATACTAAATCTCGTATCAACTTAGAAGTAAAGTGATAGAATAATACTCTTTTTGTCTAAAAATAGGAAGAAAAAAAAAATAGATATAAGTGTCCTAGTATAAAAAGTAAAGACACAAAAAAATGTATTATCTTGTTCATAGACATTTTGAAATAAATCTATTTTTAAAAAACTTTTTTTTTCAAAAGAGGTTTTTAACAGAATTTATTATTATACAGTGCGCAAAATAAAAAAAGGACCACAATGAATAACTTTTCATCTAATAATCGGATCTTCACATCTTAGAACTGAATCTTAACAGTTTAAGGGGATGACCTCAAATATGGTAATTAGATCTGACCCACATAGCTTTTTTGGCGGATTCAGATTTTTGACCCCCATAATATAAGGGGGAAGAAAGAAACACGGTCCCAATAGTTTGCCTTATTGGCTCTTGGCATTTCCGGCAAAATTAAATTCCTAGTGCACTTTAGCATCCAAATAGAGTCTCGGTGCTGGCATCTAGTATGGCAGAAACTAGACGTCCAAATTAAAATGACCAACGGTATCTCACCCATTGTGGTGGTCCTGACTGTGGATACCACCTCTGGAAAACGAACTAGGTCTGCTCATCGGCAAGACCGATTGTGCAGCTCATTGGAAATAAAAAAAAAAAACTTTTGCTGTACTTCACCATATCTTGAGAACTTATATTTTTTGTACACAATTATAAAATTTGTTTATCCAAAGAGAATTTCAAGCAAAATATAAGTTTTAGAAAAAATTTATTATTTTTCATTATTTTCACTTCTTCATTTATTATTTTTCATTTCTTCACAATGGTCGAAAATTTTTTTAAGGCAGACAATTTTTTACATCATTTTAAAGAATGTAATTTTAAATAGAAAAATACAAAATTAGAACAAAATCGGTCCAATTTCTGAAAAATCAAACTTTGAAAAAAATCGTATTTTTAAAATTAGATTTCCCAGAAACTATTAGAAAGATTCCGCTCAAATTTTGTATTTTGCCATTTAGAATTGCATTCGTTAAAATGATGCAAAAATTTGTATACCTTACAATTCAAGATATTTTCGGATAATATTAATTGAAATAATACAAAATAATATACATTAACTAAAAATTATTTTTTGGGCGAAAATATTCTTGTATAAACAAGTTTCATAATTCTGTACAAATTTTTTTTTGATTTGCTTGAAAACTTTGCGAGCTATGGCAAAATACAAATAAATTAAAATTAACTTTACGGGGACCAAACATTGGAATGCTATCCAAATCTAACTATTGGGACCATAATTCCCAGATAAAGGCCTTTCCATATATTTTGGGAATCAGAAATCCAAATCCGCTGAAAAAAATGTTTATTCAGAGAAAGTATTTTGAGTTTGATTTTGTAACTTAAAATATCGCCTGCACAAATTAATTAGTAAGGTCACCCCTTCGAATTACTAAGATTAAGTTCTATGAAAGTTCAGGTCAGTTTAGGGTTATTTAGGGTGGTCCATTTTTTATTTTGCGTACTGTACACATAACCATATGAAATATTTGGCTTTTAAATCAGAAACCTTTATAAAAAAAATATAAAAAAATTATAACAAAAATTAAAACCCCACTTTTTTTTTTACACAAAAATTTAATTTTGCATCTACTCAACATTCAGGTGAAGCAGAAATACATCTTGAATTTATAATCCATAAATGATTACATTTAATGCTGAACCCAGAAACAATTAAAAACAGTAAACAAATAATTATAATCTTGTTAATTCATCTCAATGTTTCTTAATTTTATTATAACTTTCAAATATGGGTCATTCTCACAAAAAGGTGATTTTTTAAGTCCCTTAGTAATAAATATTAGGAAATACAGCAGATTTCTTAATATTTTTCCTCATCATTTTCGTTAAGTTCTAACTAACAAATTATATGCATTTCTACTAAATGTATTTAATATTTCATTCTTATTTTTTAATAAACATAACTTCAAAATCCCCTCCGTGGACGTCCCTACGTCTGTGACACACAATAATTTTTAATGGCTCTTAAACAATTTAAATGTTTTTTTAATGATTTTTGTAGTTTTACCTAGTTAAATGTTCATAGTAACTTTTTATTTAATATTTTAAATTTTTTTTTTTTTTTATAAAATAAATGACTAGTAAACTTTGTCCATCACAAATGAAATCTCCCTCCATGGACAATTAATATAGTTCGGTAAATATGCAATAAAGGGCAGCATATACGAAATCCCTATAAGACAGCTGCTGGGAAAGGTAACCATTCCATTTTCTAATGTTAACTATCAGTTTTTTTGCTCCTTTTGGTGTGAGTTTTGGATTGTTGCGTTCAATTGGGGTTCGGCAAGGTTCTCACCGTTAACTCCGTGGACATCATAAAGAAGGTAAGAGAAAATTATTTTATTTTTATAGATGAATTTTAGATTGCAAAAATAGTATATTTAATAAAAAGAACAGTACCATTTTTGTAACTTTAAAATTAAAAATC